AGCTAGGTTTGGAGCCATCTTTGGTTGGACCACTCGTGATTGATTGCCCTGAAACGAACGAAGTGAGAGAAAGGGTTTTAATCAACACGGATGTACGTGTGCGCGAGACGTTGCAAAAAGAGGTGACTTGACTATATATGGATTGTTCTGCCACGCGCGTCTGTCATTCGCCCTTGCTGTTCCCCGTACCTGCATTATTGTCGCTTTCTTCGGACTAGATCGTCTTGGCTTAGAGTTGTAGGGTTTGGTCTGCATATTTATGCACTTTACGTTACTTTGATTGCTTTATTATCTGCATGTTGCCCTCCAGTTTATTGCAACACTATGCTCTTTATCGCTACTGCGACGTCCCCTTAGTATATTGTCCCTTCCGTTGCCCCTCCACTTACTTTTTGTCTTAGCGTTCCGGAATGTTCTCTATCTAGTTAATTAGCTTTGCTATAGTTGGCTTTAGCGCTAAGTACGTCTGCATACAACGACTATTTAACTACCGAGTTGTCCTGCATGTCGAATTTTTTTACTTCTATACCTATAATACGCCCCTACTTGCGCTTCTATATTCTAATTCCTACTAAATCGTCGAATATCCGTTACGTGAGTAATAAATCGATATACCCTGTAACGGGCCAAAGCCCGGCAGTGTAACCATGTCCCATGGCCGTACAACGTCGTGATGGGCAGACAGGATTCTACACAATTCGTCAGAGACAAAACCGGCGCATATAAGAGACGGGACTAATTCTCTTCCTTTTTGATTCTCTTTCCCTTCCTTTTCTCAAGATTGTCGAAAACAGCATGTTGGCCTAGTTAGATTGAATCAAGTCTTGCTGCAGCCCTTCACATACCCTTCGAGTTATTCTTACTCTTAATGTTATCTTTCCTGCCCGATCTTGTTTTATACGCTATTTCGAGCTAGTTTTACAGAATATAAGTTTTTTTTTAGGATAATTGAGTACATACGACCATAGGGTGTGGAGAACAGGGCTTCCCGTCCGCTCAGCCGTACTTAAGCCATCTATAGTATGCGGTTAATTCTCAAAGCGCCCTGAGCCTTAAAATGGCGTCCGATTTTATCCTAGGGTAAGTGTGGGTGATTTGGGTGAGAAGTCTGGAGACTGGGGTGATAGAGGTGAGAACGGGGTAAGAGCGGGTGAGAATTCTCACCCAGGATCACCCACACACCCACTTTAACTTGGAGACTAGCCCATAAATATGAGTGCTGGGTGGCTGCCTGGCCTTCTGTTCTTATTTCTCAAAGTTCAGCCATTTCAAAGAAGATGTTCCTGAAAGACTTCCAAAAGGAACTCGAGGAAAGAACTGCACGTGCTACGTCACGTAGCTTCACCCTTGAGTATCAAAACAAACGAGAACAAGAAAACAACACTATCTGCCTTAAACAGCTCGCTCCAGCTACTCTCAAGAAGTATGAAGACACAGAAAAAAATTGGGCATTGTAAGTACTGCTATTGACAACTACAGGTCGCGACCCTAATTTCTGTAGATAGAGACTTTCCCGGAACGAAGCGATCAATGCCAATTTTTCCAAGAATGAACCTGATCCTACCCCTAAAATTTTGAAATCTTTTGCCGAGGACTACATTGCAACAAGAAAAAAGATACCTTCGCAGAAGTCTGTATGTTAGAACTTGACAAACTTCACGTCAAGATGGGAAAGAGAGACATTTCGTTCTCTGCCGAGGCCTGTCAAGGACGATATTCTAAACGTAAGACCACTTAATCTCCTCAAAACTATTCTTCCTTATAAGTTGAAGTATATTAGGCAGGATCTGACCGTTAAATATTAAATGCCTACAAAGCCACGAGAGCGTTTTATAGTCACTGTAAAGGACATTAACTACCTTCTTCGGGGCCTTTTCGGCGACGATTGGCACGATTACAAGCACGAGAGAGTACGTGTATAAACTAGGAGTGCTCTTGCCCTATTTGCTGGCTTGGGTACTAGGGCCGGTGCTGTGGTGGAATCGAGCGCTTATCTTCATACTAACGAATATCTATATTATAGGGTACGTTTTGACCTTATCCCTCCCTAATCCCTCCCTATCCCTAGAGACTAACTAAGCTAATCGAAATCTCAAAGTATCTTATATTCAATATGAAATAGAGTACTAGAGATCAATTGAAACGCTAGGTGACGATTGATCCCGAGTTTCTGAAAGGATAGCGCTATCGCGATGACAAAGATTTGTGAGTACGAATAAGCTTTCGTGGAATTTGAATGCTGACTTTAAAATAATTATAACCAAAAAACTAGTTCAGAGAATATCCGATTCTCGGAATGAATTTTGTTTTCTAGGTAATAGTGCATAGCATTGCTAATAGCGCCTTTAAGGGTCTCAGTATAGTGGTAGACGTTCTCGCTGTGAGACCTCCAAAAGGGAGAGAATCATATATACTTGAGTGGAATAAGAACGTGAAGAAGCTTCCTTTCTTTAGGATAGTAACTCCAGAAGGACCCTATCGAGAGAAAGGATTATCTTTTTCTTCTATACACTAGAATTTCACGCGTCTAGCTCAGCGCGAGTGCTTCAAGGACCTACTACGCGTATATAGGATTCGTGGCGCTATTACAAATTGCATTAACCGTAAGTTATTCTAGTTCTCCTTAGATAATCAGCGCTTACCTTATTTAGCTAAGGCGTCGGAGGTAACCCGCAGCCAGGCTCTCGATCATTAAAGCTATAATATATATATTAAATACTAATCTGTGCTTAAATCTTTGGATATTCAGGCCCTGTTCTTTGATTTGTAGCCTGATTATAAATATCGGGATATAGAGCAGAGCATAGCTCACTACAGAGACCCTAATACCCCCTAGAGATTAGATGTAGCTGCTATCCAAGCATTTGAAGAGAGAGACGATATCAAATCTATAAATTGGAGAATTGCTTATCTAACTTCCGAGATCGCCGGGAAGCCCTAGCTATATAAGGAACTTACTACTAAACGTACACATCTATATAGCAGAAAATCTAAACTCTTAGAAATCTGGAAGAAGGAATTCATATAGAATTAGTGGTATTCTATATACGACGAATATATATCAGGAAACGAATTCACGGAACGCGATATAACCTGTTTATTTAATATATATAAGAAGTACCTACTAGAACGTGCTCGTCTAAGCCAATCACTTTTTACGGAAACCTTATTAGATAGTGTGATCGGCTAACAATACCTAGGGGATATAGTTACGCTTTGCAAATCTACGGAGCGCGTTGTTTACTATCCCGGGCTATTACCTAAGGACAATCGATGTCCGATATACTCTAAGCTTATATTATAGTAAGTATACTCTGCCTTTTGATCGAAAATTCAAGACTAACTAAAGTAGAATTCTATTCTAGGGGAGAGTAAAATATATCTTGCAGTATCGAAGACGATCTCTAGGTAGGCCGCAATACTAATAACGCTACCGGAATGAAAAGCGGGCGTATAGGCGTATTCAGCGGAACTTTGCGTAGTTCTGCTATCTCTGCGCACAAATTTACTCTAACGAGCAAGCGTAGATTAGCTACTACTAAAGCTACCTGAATAGTCTTTAACCACGATATAGGATATTAATATTCCGTTATACGCTCGTTGCCCCTGGCTTCTGTCTATTTTGCCTAGGCGAGGAAGACAAGAAACTAGACGAGAGATTTTAATAGTAGGTAGCCAAGGTAACACTTCTTAATTATATTAACCGACATTTCGATAGTTTAAAAACCTTAACGACTTTTTTCTGTCTATATCCTTGTTGTCGAGCAAAGGATTATAGGAGCATTATAAATCTACGTCGCTACTTCTTTAACGCACATTCTATTAACGAAACGCGGTCTAACTATATAAATCGAAAAAGAAAATAGCAAACGGAACCGGAATATACCCCTAAAGACAATACTTAAGCTTACCCTAAGGTCTTAGCTATACAGGAATTTTCTAATATTAAGAATCCTCACAAGAAAGGGAAAACGGCCAGTTCCGACGAGGTACAAATTACAGAGAAATTCATAGAGCAGTTTACGTGTTATAATAAAAGCCAGGCTTATTATGAAGTAGGCATAAGTATTAGAGGATCGTGCCCCGAAATATAGGTAGCGTATTCTTGAATAGATCTTTTATTTTAGGGTGAAGATGTCCTATAGTATTCTATAGTAATAGACCAAACAACTCCGCAAATAGCTACGAGAGTATATGTGAGCAAGCGATGCTGCGCAGGTTGGGTAAAGAGGAAGATAAATTAAAGATGATTAAATAAGATCGATTGATCTTTCTTCCTCTTGATTGAATAGGAAGGATAAGTTCAATTCGGCTTAGAATCATAAAGATGAGAGAAAAGTAAAGTAGGACTGAAGCTTGGTTGATTGTATTGAATCTTGCTTGTATGTCTTGAACATGATTCTTATCTTGGTAGAGAAAGCAGGGCATATTTATAATCAACTTGTCTCTTGCATGTGATCGTTCTAGATGATGCATGATGATCTCATGCAGACAGATCTAGATGCATAGTGATCTCATGCAGTAGCTGTTTGATCGGTGGTTGCTTGATTGTACGATGTCATTGACTGTAGTGATGATGTAGATCGTGTCATTGACCGTAGTGATGATGTAGATCGTATACTGTTGTATACGTCTTACTTGATGTCATTGACCGTAGTGATGATAGTATAGCATAAAGCTTATAGAGATTCACTTATGAATCTAGCTTGATATACTGCATGACGGTTTAGGCATCTTGCCCTATATCTCACAGTATAATAGTACCCTTAGTCTGGGTAAGTCGGAAAACCGCTATAGCAGTAAATCTACGATACCTTTTTAGTGAACTTAATAACTTGCACTAGGGGCAGCCTGCTTTTGGTCTAGCTATAGGCAAGTAAGATCCGAATTTCTTTAGATTATAAATAATATTCTCCCTCCTCTCCGGGCTCTACCACTACACCGTCGCTGCTTCTACTAAATCCCTTATAAGAACAATTTCTATTTCGTTTATTATACAGCTTGTCACTCCTTTTATACTAGGCCTAGCGTGCCTTATTAGAGCTAGTGCTAATCTAGAATCTGAGAGTGCTGGTAATACCGAGCTTATAGTCCGCCGTACGGATAGATATCGCTCTGTTGCCTACTTTGTTAACTAGGTCAGTTCTCCTGAAATAGCACCCGCTTAGTCACCTAGAGCCACTTACTTATGTACTTTTCATCACTTTAGGCAATTTATAGCCGTAACTTCAATCCTTAGGACCTCCTAACCGATAAACTAACGTATATACTATACGCTTTTGCTAATGTATACCCGGACACCGGAACGGTGTATATCTCAGATCCTTAGGCCGATATAGAGAAGTATTATTCTACTAATTCCTAGAGCGATACTAGAAACAATGTTTATAGATGTATGAAGCAGCTTTTTCTCCTTAAGAAGAAGAATCGAAATCTGAAGATCCTGCTGTCTATCGGGGGTTAGACTTACTTAGCTAACTTTGCTAAGCCCCTCGGTACTATAGCGGGCCGTACAAATTTCGCTTCCTCCGCTAAGGATCTAGTAGCGGATCTTGGATTTGATAGTGTTGACATCGACTAGGAGGTAATATTTATATAAGATACCCTTTAAACGCAAGCGGCATACTAACGAATACCTAGTATCCTACGGATAGCACCCAGGCCGATAATATGGTTTCAACGCTTCAACAATTACGCTTAGTACACCAAAGTATTACTCCTATTCTTTATCAGGCATAAACTAACACATTAGTAAGAGCCTGGATACGTATAGCGCTGCAGAAGCAAGGAATTACCACTTTTTGATTAGCGTTGCATACCCAGCCGGTATATTTCTCCGGGCCCCCTGGATTTGTTATTTCGTTTCTTATCTAATATACAGGACCAGAAAATTACCAAAATCTCCATATATCAGCCATAGACAAGTACCTTGATTTCTGGAACCTTATAGCTTATGATTACTCTGGTAGCTAGGACACCGCTGCTGGCCATAACGCCAATATCTACCCCTCAACCAGCAACCCCTCTAGCACGCCCTTTAACACCAACCAAGCCATTGACTACTACATCTCACAAGGAGTGACATCCGGCAAGATTAACATGGGTATGCCACTTTATGGGCGCTCATTTTTGAATACCAATGGGCCTGGTACGCCTTATAGCGGTGTTGGCAGCGGTAGCTGGGAGAATGGTGTCTGGGACTATAAGGCGCTGCCCCGGGCTGAGGCAAATGTCAGCTACCTTGACCAACCTATTGCTAGCTATAGCTATGATGCGTCGCAAGAGATGATGATAAGCTATGACACCCCTCAAGTTGCGGAAAAGAAGGCAGAGTAACGCCACTACCCCTTGGAGTCACAGCACTCCAAGGAGCAGCAGGGAGGGCTAATATTGATGTTGTTCGGCTTCTTCTCGACTTTGGCGCCGATGTGAATGCTCCCCCAGCTCACCTTGGAATGACAGCACTTCAAGCTGCCGCTGGAGGAGGAAGTCTACTTGGTGATCTTATTCTTAGTTCTGACACTGACGTCAAGGCTCGACTAGCGGCAGAACCTCAACGAGCAGATACAGGCTATCTCGAAGTGATTCGACTTCTTCTCAACTCTGGTGCTGATATTAATGCTCCTCCAGGGGAAGTATGTGGAAGAACAGCGCTTCAAGCAGCAGTTGAGAGGGGCTATCTTGATATTATTCAGCTTCTTCTCAGTGCTGGTGCTGATATCAATGCTCACCCAGCTGCAGCGAATGGAATGACCGCGCTTCAAGCAGCCGCTAAAAGGGGAAATCTTGAGCTAGTAAAGCTTCTTCTTAGCTCTGGAGCCGATGTCAACGCTCCTTCAGCTCCTGTGTCTGGAATGACAGCTCTTCAGGCTGCAGCTAAAAGCGGGAGTCTCGAGCTGGTTCGGGTTCTTCTTAGTTCCGGTGCCCATATCAATGCCCCACCAGCTGAAGCAGGAACGACAACATTTAAGGCGAAAGAAGGCGGAAGAACAGCACTTCAAGCAGCAGCTAGTGGAGGAAACATTGAGGTAGTTCAGCTCCTTCTCGGTGCTGGTGCTGATGTCAATGCTCCACCAGCTAAAGCTCGTGGAAGAACAGCACTTCAAGCAGCAACTGAAGCAGGAAATCTTGAAGTAGCTCAGCTGCTTCTGTGGTATGGCGCCGATATTCATGCGCCTCCTTCTGAAGAGGGTGACATGACTGCATTTCAAGCAGCCCTTGAAGAAGGGAATTTTGAGATTGTTCAACTTCTTCTTGACAATGAAGTGATGACTTAGACAGACAGTGAGCACGATATGACACTACGTCGAAGTGTCGGGAACATGCAGGAATGAAACAAGCAGAGGCCGATCACAAATAGACACATGGAATACTCTCTGTACAAATCCCGCTCTAAGCCATGTCAGAACAGATTTTACATTGAACATCGCTACAAAGTTCTAGCTCTTTTGCCCAATCGCTCAGATCATCTGATGTCAGAAGATATGCCTTCGTCATGCGACAATTTGCGTTTCGTTGATCCCGCATCGCACGAGCTACTTCCTGAGTAACAGCGTTACTATATCCTGTCTTCCTCAGTTCCAAAATGATGCGAACATCATCATCCAAGGCTGCAAACGCTCTTGCTAGGGCGCAAGTCCCCTCGGGCAGATTTGAAGCCCCTGTGCAGCCACGACGGTCCAGAAGCGAAGTTCTGAGGTTGCGGACCAAGGGAAAAACTCCCCCTCTCGACCGCAATGAGGAAAACCGAGCCGAAACGAGGCCGGGTGAAGCAAAGCAGCGCAGACCGCACTCGAGCGCTCGGGAGGAACCGCAAAGGATCGGCTAGTTTGCGTCGGGGGCAAATAGGGTCGGGGGCTCGGTGAACTAGATCAACGGTGAATAGGTCTCATTAGTAAAGAGCGCATGGGGGAAGGGTGGTGAGGTGCCTAGAAACCAAACCCCCCCCCCCCGAGGGGTCAAGCTGGAGCCGATCGTGGTGCAGAAAGTTACAATATAGTATTACATTTGTTGAAACGAACCAAAAATTCAAGCTTTTAGGCTTTGTAGGATGGTCGCACCTAGAGATGATATGGAGGAGCACGAATATAATACACAGACGCTTCGTAGTGAGTGCGTTCCATGTGCTTCAGTTCGCTCCTGTCCATTATGTTCGTACGCCTCCTCACGATTATCGGAAAGCATGTATTCCGTGTGTTTTCAGTTCGGTCCTGTCTATTGTGTTCATACGCCTCACGATTTTATCTGGAAAGTGTCTATTCTATGCGTTCTGAGTTCTCGTTCGCTTCTGCTTCCGTGTGCCTCCTCACGACTTAGGTCTTTCCAGAAACAAAGAAAAGGAAAAATAAAAAAATAAAAAAAAAAAGGGGGAGGGGGGGCCAAGGAGTACACTCACTCTCTTAAGAAATCATGAGCAGGCACGAGAAGGAAGCAGACAGACTACAGCTTTGAGAGAGATGCTATATTTAGAAAGCATAGGTCATCAAGGATGAGCTCCCAGTCAGAAAGGCGGGATGGGGAGTCCCTTAGTTTCGTTACTTTGCTCTCTTGATCCATATAACATCCCCGAGTTGTGTATGCGCGTCAAGCTACTTCAAGATCTCGATACGTTACTAGCCTTGGACTTGGATAATATGAATTATGGAGGCATTAGTGGACTTTCCATCAGATAGCGTTGGCGACATGCTAGCTGAGAGCCAAGATGTTACAGAGCTTGAGGCGCGCGGGCCGCAGTTAACTGAGGAGCAACCGAGAACCAATCAACCTCCGGACGCTTTTGCATTAGCGTCGTCACGTGCAACTCCTGATACTCAGGCAGGCCTCAGGGGGCTCTGAGAAGAACATTCAGGGAGAAGAGCCAGAAACGGCCTACGGCTAACTGTGACATCGTATACTCCACTATCCGATTGGATGGTTAGTACGATGCGAGGAACGGCTATTACCGCACGTACTCCAGTGGTAGAAGGGTAGATCGGTATATAGGTAGAACATGCCAAGAGTCATCTACCACCTATACCACCTACCACCCGTACCACCACGAAGGACCAGATATACAAGGACACTCATTTAGCATCATGTATTTAGCTCTTCGCGATCAATTGCACATTGTTACTTGGTTACTACCTTTAGTACTTTGCACTTCACAGTTCACCAAGACAAATCCGCCTCGGAATAAATCGACAGGCTGAAACTAAGCATAGTACATACAGTCCTCTGTGGTTGGTCCTGCAGGTCTACCCAGCTCAGCAGAGTTGCAAACTTAGCGCAGCTTCACTTCATCACCACAATGTTCATTTCGAAGGACGTAGCTAGGATTCCTCAGGCAAGCAAATTATAGCGAACTAGCTATTAAAACGGAGCGAAGTAGCCATACTATACCAGTGCACTAAAGAAATAGATAATAGGCCTAAATTGCTGAAATACTCCTAACTAGCGATATGAATGGGCTCACATCCAACACCCATAAACTAACCTCAGCGGACATATATTCTATCTACCTCCGGGGATCTACCTATCCTGTTATAGTCGACAAAATGCCCTGGTGTCCACGTGACGTTGCTCATGATAACAAGCACACAACTTTAGCCTAAGGCGACATTCAAGTCAGCCTCGCCGTTAGTTTTGCCAATCCTAGGTTGGGATTCAATGTGATATACAAGTGCCAAGAGGCTACGGTTTCAGCCAGGTCAGCCAGATCAAGGTGAACCAATAACGCTGCATCTGAGCCCAGGTAGGAGAGGGTCAGTGCGGTTGTCGCGCGACGGAGGGTGACAATCACCCGCTCTCACCTGGTTTCTCACCCTGTCTATTGTGCACTTACCCTGCTCACCCCTGGTCGCGCGACCGTAAAGCGGCGCTCACCCACTTCTCACCAGGGCGCACCCACCCGACTATTGACTGCACATAAGTCACGCACCATTCGCCAATCTTAGCAAATAAGGTACTTTAGCTTGGTGGGGAAATGGGTGAACGCCGCTTTATGGTCGCGCGACTAGGGACGAGCAGGGTGAGCGCGCAATCAAGGGGGTGAGATGCGGATGAGAGCAGGTGAGACTTACTGTCGCGCTATTACTGTTAATTTCGCTGTCAGATCTTAGACCCTAGAGAAATAGTCTCACTAATGTTGTAGCACAGTACCACCACTCGTAACTTGTGGGCGTCGGATATATATCCTTCAGACTGGGCGAGCGCTTCTCAACTTTTGTCGCTGCCCAGAACGAGCTACAGAGAAGATCCATAGACCTAGAATAAGTAGGCTCCTGGTGCAATAGAATAAGATGGTTTATTGAGCGTTAGTTCTAATATACCTACCGCCGTCGGATCACATACAGTACAGGAGGAGCGGTAGTCCTGTACAATCTTCCGCCCTGTGCAGTCGTTTGAATTTCTAGTTTGACAAGAAAATAAGCAAAGCACTTCCGTATATCTAGCGTTGGTGATCCTTCAGGAGAAATATACCTGAGACAAACTGAACGAAATTGCTGTAAACCCAACTAGAGTGAGCAAAAATCACAAGTCATACGTGACATGAATAACTCACTATAAAGAGATATAAAGGAAACCTGCAATAGCTCTTCCGCGAAGTTTGATTTCATGGAGCGCATATTCTGCTAAGATTGAAAGCGGGATTATCGCAAAAAAATTCACGACGAAAGTTGCTACTGATTTCCCTTGAGCGTAATTGACAGCAAATCCAGCAGGAACGCAGGCAAGAAGGACATTTATCCAAGACCTGAGGATTGTGGCCTTCAGCTGTCCCACCACGGTAAACTTCTGTTTATCAAGAGGCTGCTTATCCCACGACGATTCTGTGTCCTTGTAGTCGTCGTTGCGCTTTCCAAACTTTCCGAAGAAGCCTCTGCTTTTTTTAGTCCCCCCATTCAAGCTTTCGTCCGTTGGTTGGCGATTCGTTATATTGATTGGCTCACTGCTCCACATCGAACGCTCGGGCTGGGGCTTTTCTGTAGTATTCTTCCCAGAAACGGGAGTTATACCTGAAATATCAGCCGGGGAAAGATTGAGCATGGGCTGGACCTGAGAGGCCCTCGGTCATTTCTCTGTCTCGCGCGTGCTCCACAGAGAGACCTGCCTCATCAGTGCTATGGACACGCGCCAGTCTGCTCTCAAGCTGGAGGGATTTCGAGTGTCGGGGTTTCGGGCGAAATTTCATTACGGGTTTATGGGAGCTCGCCTCTCCATCCTGATTATACCATGTCGGATTCCTAGCTTGACTTCTATAGTTATCTATCCATCAAATGGCTTGTGAGTGACAAGATCTAGGTCGGTCAGGAAAGGGATAACCCACGCATTATCGCTATGGCTGTTAATGGTTTACTAAGATAGGGACCAGGAACAGGGAGGTACTGTATGTTTAGGGAGATCAGGTCGGGCTGTCGGAATTTTAGAAAGGGAACAGGCTCTAGCTCGTGGCTTCCACGGAATCCATCGGGTCTATATCTGAATATTACATAACATTCTGCCAGTCAATATATCCGCCCTGGATTAACCAGGAAGCCATTATAGCCCACCTATAATGCCAAAAAGGACCTTTTCAACCATTAAATAATCCATGAAATTCTGTATGAGGTTTTCAGCAGGTTTCTCACCTACTTTGGGTGCTGTATACCGTGCCCTAGTGACCAGCCTGATAGGCGGTAGACTCTTGGGACGGGCGGTATGTTGGGTGGGTCTCGAGAGGTGTTAGGACTTTTGCGTAGTCGCTGTATACATAGCCGGCCCTTACAAAAATTACTATTTTTGGACCCTTGCTTTCCTGAAAAAATGGTAATTTTTGTAAGGGGCCGGTCAGAAAGTGCGGTGCGGCGAACACCTATTCGACTACCGCCTTCCTATAACATTACACCGCCTACTTGAAAAGTCCTAAGGTCCATAATTCCAATTCTTTGGTTGGTGGTATTATGACAAGCAAAATAGGGTGTTAACATTTTGGAGGTATCACAATGCTGAGGATGCGTAACACGTGATGGGCCAAGTACTCTACTGGTGACGCGCGCTGCGCACGCAGTGGCCCTATAACTAACTTAACTTAGTTAACTTAGTTATGTTAGTTAACTAACTAACGTAATCGGTAAGCGAGTGACGCACCCCAAAACACCATAGTAAATGCGATATTTAAGAACACAATATTTCAACAACCACAAGTTTATTTTACTTCGCTTTCAGTAATCCACTGATTTAGAGCACAAATAGTCCAACTTAAGAGTCTGGGGTAATTCAATTATGATATCACTATATTTACCGTAGAATACATTGTAATTTATCTTTTTGAGCTTCACATATATATCCTCGATTCACCACACTTTGAAAACTTCCGAGACCTTCAAATACCCTCAGACTCGTTATGAAGGACATTTATTTATAGGAATTCCCTATGATAAGCTGTGGTTTTTCAGATATCAAGTTGTAATTAATCGCATTTCCTACGGTATTTTGGGGTGCGTCGAGTGCTTACATGCGTCACTTGCTTACCGATTACATTACTTGCCCAGATAGGCAAAAGTTAGCGGGCTTCTATCTTTTTGAGCTTTTTTTTTATTTACAGTACTTCTACCTTCACATTGTGATTCAAACATGTCAAGGGCGATATGAAATCCTTCTTTACGCTGAAAGCCCAAAGACCAACGCCCGAAGCTTCCCGGCGCGAGTTAGAACTGGACAAATGCGCGCAAAGCCCACAGATGATCCTGGGTTTTGTGAAGCATAATTTTAGATTTATGTTTCTAATCGTAAGCGGCAAGCGACTGTTGAGCAAAATTGGTCGTTTCATATAGAAACATGGAAAGCGGACTCGACACTTTGAACTCGTCTCCGTTCGCGTCCAGGGACGGTGTCTCCATTCACTTCTTTCTCGAATATCCAGGCATTGATGCGTTCTCATGGAATGTGCCACATTTGTCTAAACATCCAGATAACTTATCTCATCCAAGTGGAACCTGCATCCTTTTTCTTGTGCGAGTTCTCATAGTCACAAATCCCCCAATGACCAGACATGGAGAGTCACGCATGAGTCCAGCCACTTCCATCTCTATGCAGTACACCCGTAAATCCCACAACGGGATAAATATTGGTTTTCACCATTATGATGAAACATTGCGATTCTATTGATGTTGGTTATAATTTGGAGGGACTCGCTAATCCTGTTGTTTCAATGCCAAAGCCAAATGCTTAGCTATGTGTATTTGGCTTGCATAAACACGCGGATCACAATGTTTTGAAATCGAGTAGTGCCTAGAGGCTAGTTCCTTCCAATAAAGGCCTTCATGTAATCATAGCCAAGTATGGTCCATTTATAACACTCAATGAAAGCCCTCCAACGAGCTTAAGAACTGGTTTAGTCTAGCCTTTCAATCTAATATTCCTTAGCATCTTCATCTAGTAAAGGCTTTCTTCATTTCCCTATCACCGCTAAGGTAGCGATATATATGGTTTCTAGCAATTAAGCTTCGCTCTTCATCCCAAATTCACCGCACCTGATCTCTGATTCGTGAGGAAGCAGCCCGATCAAGTCGAGGAACAAGGCCACAGAATTGACAACGCCATAAAAGAGCATCGGTATACCTCCAAAAAAGAGGTTTCCGATATAACCCCGTCGGAGAATAGTCTCGGCCAATTCTGTCCGAGAAATCTCAGGCGCAACGGATGATTCAAATGGCCCCATTAGCCTATAAAATGTAACGAACGATGCACCAAAGCAGTAGATTAGCAGGATTTGCAACCCATGGTGACGATACAGCTCAAGTAGTCCCGGTGCACCGCCAAAATCCTTGGCCAACGTGCTCATATACGCGCTGTGGTCGACGCCGTATTGGATACGAGATCCCTTGGCGGTAAGAAGATGATAGTAGGGAGGATCTGTAGGCATCTGCATGCGCCCTGTGATGAGGGCCGTCCACCACATGGCCTGTTGTTCGGCTATGGGTGGGATTGCGCCAACGCCGGGACGCACGAAACCGATAAAAGCGATGTCTGGACAGGATGGATTGATAATGTTTCGGATCTGAGCGTCTGATGCCGTCGGATATGATGGGTCAAGATAAGGAAACGTTTGTTTGTATCTAAGAAATGTACCATTAGCTTGGAATTGACAGGTTATAACAAAACATGAGAAATATACCCCGAGCAATAAATCACACAGTTTGGCTGAATATTTCGGCTTTTCAAACGCTGCCAATCTTTTCTATCGTGGTTTGGCTGGAAATAGACCCGTCCCGTATCATCAATAGACGTCGGCCAGGTGCAAGTGTCAACGACTCGCTCGGATGCAGCATCCTCCGGAGGATCGATGTAGCGGTTACCGATGTAGGCTAAAAATGGATTGTCTGTCTTATAAGGACGATTGAGATAAGGCATCGCCTTGTTGCTCTTGTTGAGGAAAACAAAGGCTCTCCCCAATCGCTCTTTGGGAAGAGCGCCGACATGCTGGTTCATACCGGCCTGGGTTCCGGTCAGGAACCAGAGAACTCGCTTGATCACAAAGTCCGAAATGAACCAGCGTAATCTGCTTTGAGCGACTGCCCGATGGACGTATGCAGTTTCGAAGAGGTTGGTAATGAGACCATCGATTGGAAGGCCCCCATTGAAGGTCTTGCCGAATACCTGGAACCGGCTGAGCTGCTTGGGGAAGGAGAGGAAGCCGGTGCGGAAACACATGGTGACTGATTCGGCATCGGCTTTGATGGACTCATAGGCAATATCTTCAAATGTGTTAGATAGTTCTTTCTGGTTCGCTTGAATCAACTCACCCATAGCTGTTTCACCGCATCCCAAGATAAGAACTTTCTTGCCAGCTACTTGATCACGGTTCTTGTAAAGCGATGAGTGGAATACGTCACCCCGGACATTCTCGATCCCTGGGATATCCGGAATATTCGGCTCAACGTGAAGTCCAGTACAGATGGCAATGTGCGAGCAGTCAAAAGTACTCTCCTTAGTATCGTCTCCACCATTCCGATCCACATAGCTCACTCGATGGGCCCATCTGGAACCATCATGGAGCGGAGACACGCGAACCACGGGACAGTTGAACTTGATATACGAACCCAGGTTGAATCGCTTAACATAAGACCGGAGATAGTCGACGTATTCGGGCAGTGACACATGGTCGGGAGTCCCAGGCGGCAAGCGGTGATCTGAGAACGTTGTCAACTGCTTACTGCTGACCAATTCGGCATTCTCGTAAGAGCGATAGTTGAATGTACCCCCGACATCAGACTCACTGCGAAATAGAGGTTAATACCTTTGTGGGAACTAAGGCCTGAAAACATACGTTTCGAAGAGGTATGCCTCGATCTGCCGGTCAGGCATAGATGCCTCCAGTAAGGTCTTAAGGGTCACCAGGCCACCAGGGCTGCATAATATTAGCGTTTGGAGAATTAAATAAGGGCCTAGCCATACCCTGCGCCAATAATGGCTACTCGTATTGTCATCAGGGCTGTTCCTGGTGTTGTAGGAAGAAGGAAGATATTCAAATGAGTGCAGCCTAAATTGCGGGGGTTCCCAGCCTCCACTTAGAAAGCTTGGTCGGTGACGCTATCGCCCTCTGCCGCAGCAGGATCCACCTCCTGACCTTATGTAAGCACAGCACATAGAATACATAGTCTGTCACTTCCCTCGTAATGTTTCACTTTCTGATTCTATTTAGCCCAAGTATAGCTGAAAACGTTGCATCTCATTTGAGTCAGAAATTAGATAGAGTGATGATTGTCGATCTCGCATTTCGTCAATTTGATGACGAAGTCATGGGCTTACACTTACCCAATCTAGGTAGATAATGTCGTTGGTGAGAGGGTCTGTGCTTGGGCAGGTGCAGGTGGATATATACTTCATCTCAGGTACCAAGTAAGCAACCACAACCTATCTCTGAGTCCTCCTGCATGTCAAATGACAAGTAAATGTCCTTGAAGGAAGTGTTTGAATCAATTCGAGGTCATAAGTATGCTGCCCAGGGCAATGAGAAAATGCGAAACTCACAGCAATTGAGAGCCACGATTTAGCTATGCCTTTGTTAGTGCTTATTCTTAGGCCCGCCATTCCGTGAAAAGCAGCAGAAATGACTATTGAAAGAAATTTAAAACGAGTCAAATCATCGATTCAACTCCAATAGCGGGGTCATAGATATTCTGAAAGGGACATCAACATGCAGCCAGTCTTCAGACACCAGGCTCGGATGACTGATTCACTAGGAACTAGACTATGAGAACGGCTTGTACAATAAAGTGACTAACGAAGAACTACTGCTTAGCCAACTCTTAGTTCAACAATACGAGCTGGTTCACATTAGTTGCCGATAGGCTGCCCAATTGCCTCGTTGGTCTTGTCTTGAATCTGGGCGTTTGCCTACCGTTGTCTGAAACCTGTTCGGTGGGAATCCACCTAACCTCTACTTCGCATTTACAAACACCGAATTCCCGTTCAATTTTCTCCGAATGATGGCTATCTCACCGGTAATACCTCATGGAAATAATACCCCCATGCAGGGTGATAAGAGGCGATGTATGTCTCCTTATATAACCCAGTTTGACTAGGGCTGACCAGTGGTTGATCATGAAATATACTACCATTTGCCTCTTTGAGTGTCCAAGGCGTCGAAAGTATAGATGCATACACAGTGTGGAGTATGTACCTAGCGTTATCCTGGAGGTCTCACGAAATTGCAGATCAAACGAGACCAGTCCAGTCAAACGCCAGCTGACGGGCCTGATGCTCCACTCTTTCGCTGCGATCTGCAATACCCAAGTCTGGAATGGACCTGAATGACAGTAGACTATTATTAAATGAGGCTGTGGGCAGCCGTGGGCTGTGAGGTCTTAGACGTTGTCCGATTCTTCCGACTTTGGATGTTGTTGAGGCTGGCGCGAAGAAGGAGGCTGATATTTAATCACGCTATCTGCCTCCAGAGTGTAGCCATCTTCCAGCTCTCTCATTGCTTTGTCCCAAGCTAAGCCTATCTACCTGAATAACTTTAAACCCACCTGTTTACATTTGGGGTTCGCGCTATGGCTGTGACCGACATTCTTCAAATCAGCGGTTCCTCCAATGGCTCCTCCACGTCGCCAGTGCCCAAGCGGTTTTGGCTCGTGAGCGTGCCCCGCACTGCGTCCAATCTGCTGTTGAAGATTTTGAATATCCCTAAGCAGCCACAGCTGCTCAGTAATCAAAGAAGCGGCTATTTCTTCTACGAAGCCATCTCGGCCGCTGCCCAAGATGGCATTCTGGGCAAAGAGCCGGGTACTTGGACAAATGAGGAGAAACAGAGATACAAGGCCAGTATTCAGGGATGTCTGAAGGACCTGGAAGATTTTTCGACGCGGGCGCAGAATGAGAACAAAGCCATGTTTACGAAGGAGCATGCATTCTGGATCTTCAACCCGGCCGCACCATTTAAGATGACAACCAGCGAAGCGTATTCCGAACTCTTCGAAGAAATTCGACTCGACATCGGGGATTCCTACGGCCCGACACGAAGCTACTCCAAGTCCAACGACACTTTCCTGTCAGACGAGTACCTTCGTAGTTGGCAGATGGCCTTTATCATCCGCCACCCAGCCCTGTCCTGGCCGTCCATGTACCGGGCCTTCACGAAGATCTCAGAAGCGGGTTTCATGGACGAAGATGGAGTGAAGGGCACTATATCGACCAACATGAGCTTCCATTGGACGCGTAGGCTGTATGACTGGTGCCTGGAGCAGCCCGATATCCCGACTCCACCTCCAGTCGTGGACGCCCACGATCTCATTCACAGCCCCGAGGTTGTGCTCAAGCTCTGTGACCAAACTGGGCTGGACAAGGAGTGCCTGCAATTCAAATGGGCTAGCAATAATAACGGAAAGGCCGACAACTGGACTGCACCCGGCGAGGTTGCCAATGCCGAGGAGTTGGCTATGCATCGGCGGACTGTCAATATCATGCATGGCACTATCGAAGCTTCCACAGGCATTGTCAAGGATAAGGCACCTGAAACTATTGATATCACCGCGGAAGTCGCGAAGTGGAAGGCCGAGTTCGGTGAGGAGGTTGCCGGAATAATTGAGAAGGCCGTCTGGGACTCGATGCCAGACTACGAGTACCTGAAGGACCGACGTCTCACAGTTTAAGTGACGAAGGGCAGAAGGCAGCTGACATGATCGATGCCTGCTACAATAAATACGTATTATGGATTGGGTTTCATGACGGTTGCATAAAGGGTTTATTTGGGAAATATGCACCTGTTGGCCCAGGATCTTCATTTGGTACGTTCAGGAGTACTTACAATCTTTGCTCAACACCTAGACGATATTATAATTCGACTCTAGTCCCTTGCAGTCCCTATTTTGTCCCAAATGACTTGTGTGCACCGTAGCTTCAAGGGCTATGACAAAGCTCATCCCGTACAGAGTAGAATTTGTCAACTGTTCCCAGGACCAATACTTCAAGCCAAGATAATATCATTCTTGGTGTCCGTCTGCCGCCTACCATAATTTCACACATTGAAACACAGATATAGGAAGACTTTCTATAATTGAAACAGATTGGATATGAACAGATAATAATACATCCTAAATATGCTAAATTGATCGCTCCGAAAACTCGTACAATCACCGCTTGCCGCCACCCATAAAGGCCTTCTTCTGGCGAATATAGGCATTGACAACATTCTCGACACTGCGGCGGTCGTGTTTGCGAGACCTATCAGGCAAAACCAAGTCAGTAAAATATTCAAACCGTTGACACTGTCGGGGGCCGGGTGATCCACGAACCGCATGTAGTACAATCTTGCGCGGCGAATCTTGCGTTGCGCACGTTGGACAATCTCCATACTCTGAACATTCGGATTGAACACCTTCACCGACATCTCGACCGCAACACGGGTGAGCTCATTGCGGAGGAGGAAGGAAGTGTCGATCCCGCGCAGCTTGATGCTCAGCACGACGCCGTTGAATGGGTCGCCATTCTTGAATGTGACACGGACAATGTCACCGGGCTTGACACTGCGAGGATTCCGGCGGTAATCGAACAGGGCCTTCCGTTCACCTTTGGGGTCGAGGGTTTCCAATTGCGACTCGGTGACCTTCGCGACAGGGTCTTTGCATGCTTTGCGGGCGGAAGGGGGAGGAGTGTAGACCTTAATAGGTTTGGGGGCTGCAATTGAAAGTTGTCAGCTACATTATAGCCATGTCAGAAGTCTCTAGGTGTAGCACACACCGTTCTCGGGGCGCATGCGAGTTGGTAGTTGTGATAGGAATTGCTCGGGGACATTCTGCGGGAGAGGGACGTGCTGGGGACGCTGGGAGTAGGCGGTTGAGAGAAATCGACAACGCAGTTGAGGCTGCATAACCCCCTGAGTCTTCAGCAAGGATCTCAAGCAACCCAGTGGCCGCATTGTTGGTAGAGCTGCCATGGTTGTGATGCGTTAAGGATAAGAGCGAGAAAGTCGGAGTCGAGTTTTGGATGGAACGGACCGGCAGAATTTCCGCCAAGCCCCGATTTTGTTCGGCGTCGTTCTTCTCCGCCTCGACTTTCTTCTCGCGTTTTGCCTTTGCTCCGTGAAAAGCGCCGTCGTGCATTGAGTCGCTGTTATTTCCAGAGCGATCTCGAGTGCAGACTTTGTTATTTTCCTAACATGGCGCAATTCACTATGGGCAGCTTTGCCCGCTGGTCGAGCAGCATGCGCCAATCTGTGGCCTCCCAAACTCGCGGCTATGCCTCAAAATCAGGTAAAATACCAGCTCATGCGCTCAATTACTTGATTTGCAAGATGCTTACCACTATTTATTTCTACAGCAATCCCAAGCTTCTCACAGACCTCCTCTCCCGAACTGGACCAGCTCCTCTACCGATTCCGTCAAGACCGATTCATCCCATCTGGACTCCCGAACCAGCAACGCCGAAACATGTTCAAGGAGAAGCACAGGCAGCGACTAGAGGATGAGCCTATTACCGTGGCAATCAGCGAGACGGAGGACTTCACATTGCGTCCGATGACGATCAACGAATTGCCAACGAAAAAGGACGCCTACGAGGTACTGCGGCTCATTGCCGCTAACAACGAGTGGAAGGCCCTTGTGCCCTTCTTGAGTGGCCTCTACATGTCGAATCTAAGACTCAGCGCCAACCGGCTGGCTCAGATTGTTCGCAAGGCCAGCGACGCAGGCAAGCTCTCTATTATTTTCGAATGTATCCGCCAGGGAACCCGCACCGGCTTCCACCTTCGCGATCTGACGGTCGTGCAACGACTCTTCTACGACATCCACATTCTTGCGCAAAATGCCGACTTCAAGGGACCTGCGGCTATCAAGGCACTCAACATGGCGAAGCAGGCAGTGGATTTGATGGATCAAGACGCTGCGACACAGACCTCCCTCGCCAAGGCCGCGAACCCCAAGCACCAGCCCTTCGTTATCGGCACCCTACTTGAGCTCAGCGCTGCCCGGGCAATCAACGAATTTGGCGGCAAGGACCAGGCGAATGAGGTTTTGAGCTATGCCCGCAAGTTAGTCGCATCTTGGCCTCTGTTCCAGGAACAAAGCAAGGTGGCGGCTGAGGTTAGCTCTGCGTCGGAGCGGGCCCAGGAGGTTATTGCTGTCTACAATGGATTGCGGCTGAGCCTTTCAATTCACGGATTGGCTTTGGACAAGGCACTGCATGACTCTGTGACGGCATGCCTGGCCGAGGCGAAGAGCGAGTTGGAGAAGCTTGTGGACTCGGTAGAGCCATCTCGCGTTCAAGAATCTGTGCGCTCCATTCTTAAGGCATAATTGTCCTAACCCGAGGATAGAGGGGGAACCTGCTGGCATGTGTATATTACTTTTATTTCGACATTGGAGCCAACCTTGTATTTCACTAAATGAACAATGGATTACTAGCCGAAAATGACACGCTAAGTGCTCCAGTGGTTCTTCCATATCAGAACGACTGGAGCCATCTTATGGATTGTATGACCTCCAAGATAACCGAGACAAATACGGTCGAACGGCAGGCGCTGTTTTATGTTAGATTAAGGGGATTGGTTCAAGCACACAATCCAATGGTGTTGTCCGTGGCGATGCGTCCGCGTGAAGATAGAGTCGTCTTGCCATCTACAACAGCGGGACCCGCGACCATAATCTAATACAAGGCACTTATTAGCTTAAATTCAAGAGACAACGGGGTTCAGGTTCAGAGTAAGTAGATTTACCTGGCCCTCTGGATTCTCTTCAGATGTCTGGTTCTCAGAGACGCCAGTAAGGGTGATCTCCGTGCTGCTGAGAGGAGCTCCGAAATGGCTTGGGCCATTGAGATCCCTGTAATCGAAAACATTGGTCTGGGAGATAGCTCCAGCAATGCCTGGTCCAGTCAGAGCATATACAATGCGAGCACCCATGTAAATCCGAAGGTCTGTCAGCTGCTCCGAGGTCAGCCGGACCGAGGCCGCGGCATCAACACGATGAGAAATACAGAGGAGGCGCAAGTTCTCCAGTGAAAGCTCCGCAGTCGGTCCGACCTGTGCAAGTCGACTGAAGAAGTTCTGGGATGGCATGTTGCCTGCATCCAGGGTCTGAGCCTGTACCCACCGGCCCAAAGAAGAGATGAGGCCGGTGTGGGGCTTCATAACATGGTCATGGTATTCAGACATGGTTCGTGATGACGCAATGATCACTGTTGGGGACACTCCTTTGGTAGCGAGCGCAAAATCAACATCCTCACCGGCCACAGAGTTTAAGGCAATCGAGGCGTTTGAGAACAGCGCGTTGAAGATTTGGCAGAGAGGATACGAGCGGGAGAGGGAGTCAATTGAGAGCACAAGATCAGAAGAGTTAAAACGTTGATTCCGAGGAAGTGCTGATCCCAGAGCGCTGATGGCGGCCGCAAGATTCTGTTTCAAATGTTAGAGACTCAATAAAACGTGCAGACCACAGGTCATTGCTAAACCAGGACACAAACGAGCTACTTCAATGAAATAACATGATTGCTGGATCCAGGCGCGAAACTCGTGTGTCTGTATTTCATGCGGTTGCTCTGTGGCCAAATTCCCTTGAAAATTACGCAATATTGCCACGTACCTCTTGCTTGAATTCAATAAACTCGCCAGACTGGGACGCAGAGGGCCAAACCGTATGGACGGCAGGGGTAGAGGTAGTTGGGTCGTATTCGGGGACGTCGAAGCCAGAGAGGTCTTTGACTTCCTCCGCCAATTCATGCCAGACAGCAACCTCCAGAGTGCCCTTGACATCCTTGGGGACTCCGTGCCAATCCATGTGACGGTTTCCATACTTGGCGACCCAGATAACAACAGAAAGCTGTTTGTTTGCCTTTGCAACGAGAGACAGATCAAGCGAGCCAACTTCGGCAATAAGAGCGTCAGCCTTGGAATTTTGCAGGTGGCTTGACAGGGTCGTCGCGGGAAGGTTATGGGGGATAAGAACAATCTTGAATCCGTAGAAAGAGCCAGCTTTTATCTCACTGATTAGTTCATCGTCAATGTAGGTCGAATAGGTCGAGTCTTACCGAAAATAGCCGCCAGCAGTTCGATCGAGTCAGTTAGGCAAACGGCGACGGTCTTCACCTCGGCCTTTTGAAGGTGACGGCCAATCACATTAATCTCCTGTGTAACTTGAGCCAGCGAATGTTCGACGGCATTCTTGCCAAGAACGGTGTAGATTTTGCCCTGCTTTCCAGAGGTGGTACCGTCCTCATTCAGAGCTCCACGGACAGCGGTCTTCCAGATATCACGCAGGTCACCGCGTCGACCTGCAGTCCACTTGGGAGCTCCCGGGTCCTTCACGTTCAATCCTTGCCGAAGAGGGAATCCATAAGGTGTCTCAAGACTGCGGTAGGTTGCGGACTCGCCAGTTTGTCGGATGGGAGATGCCGTCGATTGACGAGCTAAAAGGAACGGATGGACATCGGGATCCTTGTTTGAAATGACGGAGTAGATGGCAAATGCAGCAAGAATGCCAGCAAATACGGTTGTGTAGATGTTCCAGTCTGCGAGAAGCTCTGACAGAGCTGCGTCCAGCTTCTCCAGAATTGGGGTCTGGTCGGCCATGTCGGCTAATTGACGAGAGCCTGGCCGTCGGGAACTGTCAAAACTTAGGGTATGCAGATCGCAGAGTTGAGGAACTGCGCGCTGTCAAGCTGCAGATTATTGTCGGGAATTTCCACAGTCAGATTTGTCGAATGTAGTGTGATTGCTAACAGCCCTCACGATGTCAACAATCTTAGCCCCAGATAACACGATGACGTTTGAGGGGTTCCGTGGAAGGCGGAAGAGGCGGCGGGTCGGGTCAACCAAAAAACCGGCGTTTAATCTTGACGCGCGCCACGACGTCTGTTTCCTTCGTTGGTCCTAGCCACTTTGCGACCATCAAAACATCTCCTGAGGCATGACCTTCTGAACGACACATCTCCCTCGAGGCAATGCTGATGCCAGTGTGAATCATTACAAACTTTCTTCTCCCCCTCAATCCAGGTAAGTCCCACCTTCAATTTCCATCTAAAAAGTAAGTTCTCTGGCCCCGTATCCTGCTCATGTGCTCAAGGACGGCTGTTCACTGATCACAAGCTACAGCTCCTCTTTTCTTTGTTGCTTTTCCTTGCAACTCTACGTCCCCTGCTTGCAATTTCGTTCCATTGCGATCCATGGCTGTGCAACCCCTTCCCTCTACACCCCGAGCTGTGTCTGCCGCGGCGCCCATTGCAACTCCTGTCTCGACCCCAGGCAAATGGCGCCACCCTCAACTCAGTGAGGTCGTGCGACGTCAAAATGCTGCGACATTCAACGATAAGAACCTGCGGAGTGTGGTCTGGAATGGAGCCACATTGATCTCGACATGGATCTTCGGGGGTACCTTGAAGTCCTTGTAAGTCCTGGCTTTTCTCGCCCAGTGCACTTGGGTCGTTCAGTCCTAACTGGTCTTTCAACAGTGCTCGTCGCATGCTTGACAGTGACCCCGTCTACCACCACCTCCCTTTGCTTCTTTTGCAGGCGCTTCTACTCTTCAATGTTATCATGGCGCTGTACCCTCTTTTCATGTCCAAGGATGACCTTTCCGATATCCCGCTCACACCCACTCAACGTGCACTCCTGGGCCTAGACCCCGAGGCGGCGCCTCCTATCACCCCCGGCACTACCTACGTTACTCCACCTCGCTATCGCCTGTCAACCTCGCGCAAAGCAAGCCCTGTTAGTGCGAGTCGCCAAACCACCTCTCCTCTGACCTCGACTCCTACTTTCACAGACCGTCGTGTTTCTTCTGGAACACCATTCTCGCCTGCATCTAGTCCTTTGTTCAACAAGGCTGTGGCTACTGGAGGTCGGGAATCAGGTCGCAGGCTGAGCATTGGGTCCTCATCCCCTCTGGCTCGAAGCAACTCATTCGGAGAATCTACGATATCCAACATCTCCAGCATGTCTAGCATCGGACCCAGCACGCCTTCTCCACTTAGTGGAAAACGCCAGAGCTTGGGGCTGAGCAACAAGTGGCTCTACGAGAGAAGCCGGAGGCTATCTGCCAGCAATGGCGCTATGTGATGCTTGTTCTGTTTTTATCATCGGCGGCGCGATTCGGAGTTGCATTGTGAATCATAGGTCTGAGCGGTTTTCAGTACTGTAATGAATATTGGACTAATAAGGCCCTCTTCTTCTAATTTTCCTTTTCAGTTGGCAGTAGCTGCCTGATGTATAACTTGGCGGACTCGACAAGCCACGTTGCCACACGTTGTAAATAAAGATCGGAGAAAGCAGTAATTACCAGATGAGCATCAATTTATGAAGCATGTCTTGCATAAAGCATATCCTGTCTGGAGCGACGAGACCTCGGGCCTGTGGAGATGATTGTGGCAGCAGGCACCTTGGAAGTTGTTTAGGCGGCTCGGCAGGCCAACCAACTTGGTTCTGGCCAAGACTCCGGACCAGGAACCCACGTAACCACCACCAACAGTACACGGCGAAAACTGGCAACACAAACCCTCGACTCTCTCGGGCCCTGCTGGTGATCTCCTACATGAAGCGCTCACTGTGAGCCACTGGTCTCTTCAGCAATGGGGGCCTCGGAGTCAAAGCTTGTCTTCAAGCAGGGCATCTTCCGCCTGTCGGAGGAGAAGGAGATCCCCGCAGATGACCCCTACTGGACGCGAGTAAGTTGTCGGACGATAGTAGCCAGTCCAAAGATCTTTTCGACCACTAATACTGATGCTTTTCCAGTTCTGGGAACTCCCCGAATCTACAGAGGATGTCTTCAGCTTATTTACGCCGGCTGACATCCGCCGAACGCGCGATCATGCCTTATCCAACTTCGAAACCCTGTTACTATCAGTCTCGTCTCGACTCGTAGTCCTCAAGAATCATCCCTCGTTTCCGGACCCAGACCTCGCCCCCGAGCGCGATGTACTCAACTGCATTCGTATCCTCACTCGCCTTCTCCCCTTTGTCTACGAAGCCGAACACCTGGAGGACTGGGAAGAGAAGTTCTTCTGGGCGCGTCGCAAGAAGAAGACCAGAGAAGCACAAATTGCCGGAGAAGTCCTGTTCGATGAGGCGCAGCTGGATCAGCAAAAGGGGCAGTCCCCACGCGCAGAGGAATATGAGGACGTGAAGCCTCTGGCGGAGGAGCTGATCGATACTCTGCTTGACCTCCTGTTCTTCGCAGGCTTCACTATCCCGGTCCTCCCGACTGCGAAGAGCAAGATTTCATACTCGATCTGGCAGAGTGGTGTTGGCTGCAACACAGCGATGGGATCCAACAAGACTTTGGAAAACAACCGTTGTGAGGTTCTGCGACTATTGTTGACCATGACTGGAAAGGCAATGTATCTGCCATCGAGTGAGTTTCATCCCGATAAATGTTTTCAGGCACACTTAGCTTACTTTGCTAGACACACTCCCCGTACAAGGTGTCAAGGCAATTACCTATATCACCACTTGCCAAGATAAGCAATCCGTGTTGACGCTACTGTGTTCCCTTCTGAATACGGTATGTTCAGTTTGGCTTGGCTTGGAAACGTTGGACAGCTATTGATCTACTATTAGGCCATGAAATATAACCCTGCAGCATGGCATGTTCCCTACGACCATGTCGTGTGGAAAGATCCCAAGCAAATCCTGGTGATCTATTGCTTGCAGCTTCTCCTCGTTCTCCTCTTGTATCCCATCCCGGAAGATGGCCGTGGTGCTCCGCCAAAGAACTACTATCGTCACTACTTTGGAAGGTTGCACAGGCCCCAAGACTTCCAATTCCTTGTGGATGGTATGGCGAGGATTCTGAATCAGCCTGTATGTGATAGCTGTCAAGATCACTTTCGTGTTTGTGATTAACCATATTACAGATGCAAGCTACGACTTCATATCTCCCTGGGAGTCAACGATCTGTGAAATGGGCCCCCGAGATTTTGATTCTGTTCTGGGAGACCTTGCAATGCAACAAGCGGTTCCGATCCTTCATCATCGATTCCAATCGCTCACATGACTTTTTGATTCTGTGCATCTTCTATGCTATGGAATACAGGACTGAGCCGTCGAAGCAAGGAGTCGTGCGACTCTGTATCTTCATTCTCCAAACGATGAGTGCCGAACCAAACTTCGGAAAGAGCCTGAACATGAAGTTCGAGGCACAAGAAACCCTGCCGCAATCTATCCGGCTTATGAAGTTCCGCGGCACTTATGCCGACTATCTTATCATGGTATGGTGATTTCACTTTCCAATTGCGGCCAGCACGCTGATTTTAACAGTCAATCCAAACCCTCATGACTACCAGCAAAGGAAATCTGGACACAGTCTACCCTGCGCTACTTATCATCCTCAACAATGTTGCCTCTCATATCAAGCATATTTCCCCGAGCGCCTCTTCTAAGGTCATTCAACTTTTCTCTTCAATGTCTGCGCCAAGTTTCCTGCTCGCCAATGACTCCAACCATACACTTCTTGCATCCCTGCTTGACTTTATCAATGCGATTGTTGAGCATGGCTTCAATGGTACGTCCTTGGAAAGCCCAGCAGCCCCCTTCTCCCGGTTCATTTGGCACTGTGCTAATGACTGCAGAAAACCCATACCTCGTTTATGCGATTCTGAAATATAAGGATCGATTCGAAGCCGTCCGAGCATTCACCCTCGAAAGCGGGCAGCAAGAAATCGAACGCCAGAGAGAAAAGCGCAAAGCTGGAGACTCTTCGGGCGACCTGGTTACGAGTCCCACGCTTTCTCACTCCGAGGAAGACCTTCATGCCCCTTCGGGTGCTAGATCGCCCCTTACACGTATCCCTGAAGAGAACAGCGCATTTGCTATTGGTGATGACGATTCCGACGATGAGGCAGAAGGAGGAGGCCCACGGACGCCTTCCCAATCTTCACCGTCCGCTCAGACATCACGTAGGCCCTCGTTCGCGTCGACAACGGATGAGACCAGCTCTCAAATCAGGGGCATCTCCGAGAAAGCACGTGGTAAACTACCAGCTGGAAGACCGTCAGTCTCGCGACAGAATAGCATGACTAGCCAGACCAGTATGTCTGCGTTGTTCTCCGCATCATCTACTGGTTTCGTCCCGACCGTGGCTTGGGTAAGGGTTCACCGACACCATATACCGTATAAATGCTGACATGCGCTTACAGCTTGAGTCCTGGTTGCCAGAGCTTCCTCTTCACACGATTATTACTCTCATTTCTGCCATTGCGTCACACATTCCCGACGCAGCCCTTCAAGCCACCTCTAGCCCAGAGGCTCGTACTCTGATCCACAACCTGCCGTCTTTTGCTGAGGAGCCCCAAATCACAAGCATCATCTCGGAGCCTACGCCAGTACGTGCACAATCTTTCGAATGGTCGGCCCTTTCGATGGGCTGGTACGAATCCCTGCTCTGGGGCTTCATCTTCTCCAGCGAGATGGTCGTGGGTTCTGCTGCGGGCGCCACCCCAGGCACTGTCGGTGTATGGAATGGCACTGCCATTCGACTGTTCAGAGTGCAAGAAGCTGCCGCTCAAGGGCCCACCTTGCTTGCCCCGAAGGGTGCCGTAGATGCCGTGGGCAGCAATTTGGTCCAACGCATTGGGAATCTCAGCCTCCGCGGCCGCAACTCTGTGTCCCAGGAATCCGGTAGTGGTGGTTCTCCAAGCGTAAGGGAAGTTTGATTCAATACGCAGTGAAGAACTCGACGACGTACATAGAATCGCTTGCATGATCTGAACTGTTTCCTGAATGCCTCGTTCATTTTGCCTGTTTCTCTGTATCGATACCTTGGATGTCTTTAAGGCGTTAGCGATTAACCACTCTCGATGACCAATTCATTCTATCTGTAGTAGTAGCATATGTAGTGCTGGAACCATAATTAAACTCAAGGCCAATATCACGCTTCTGTTGTGCCTTGAAAGTTGGCTGGTGTGACCGTCGCCTGGAATGAGCAACCTTGAAACACGTGCCTGGCGCGTTCCGCCTCCCCCAATCACGCTCTCATTTCTTCGTCTCCTACAACGATTAATTCATCGGGGAACGAAGCGAGAGCTCGGATCTTTCCCCAAAAACATATTCTCATGATTCCAATTCCTTGATTCTACCGTTTTCAGAGCTATGCTATCTCCATTTGTATCAATACTGATCGTCGTGGTCGTGCTCCTTTCGGGCCCAAACCCCGTCATCGGCCAGATTACCTCTAGTTTGCAGAGTATCTTGAAGAACACACATCACAGCAAGGATTATGGGTACCCGACCGATATTACAAGAGATCTACTCCCAGTGAGTTACCTCCGTGGTTCTACTCGATGGACCCTCTGATTCACGTCGGTCGGTCTTCAGCCTTGGAACTCTAAATTAACGTCACCGCTAGATTCCGGTGCACTCCCATAAGTAAAAACCTCCTCGGTCTTGTTTTGAACTACGATTCTCTTTTACTGATCTGCTGATATCGTAAAAGTGACTATTGGAGGGAGAGGCCTTTCTACACTGGTAAATCTCCCACCTTTGCCATGTGAAATCCCCATTGACATTCTCACTCCTAGGATTATCAAAGGGCTGCACTTCAACCGAAGCTGATGTCTGGCTATACAATGGAACCCTATATGTTCGTTCTACCAAAATCAGTCCATCCGACTCTTCCGGGTTATCGCTAACAGCAGAAGGTCGGGCACGATCAATCTGCCCTGACCCATGAGCGGACACTTGAAGCCCTGTATATCAACCCGATTCTAGACATCCTAGAACGCCAGAATCCAGAGAGCCCATTTGTCACATCGCCTACCAAGAAGTACGAACCCCTTCTGAAATACCTTTCTCTCGGGGGACTAACGCCACGTTACTTAGTGGCGTTTGGGACACCACGCCAGACCAGACACTTTACTTCTTCATTGACGTCAAAACGTCAGGTCACGAGACATTCCAAGCCGTCATCGACGCTTTGAAACCTCTCCGTGAGAAAGGATATCTAACCACCGTCGAGGGTGGTAAGAAGTTGACCAATGGACCCGTCACCGTTATTGGCACTGGCGACACTCCGCTTGATATGGTCGCCCGTGTTGCAGACCGCGACTACTTCTTCGACGCGCCTCTAGCACATCTGAATGATCCTAAGTACGCTGATATTACGGGCTTGATATCTCCTATCGCGTCAACCAATTTTGAAGAGGCCGTTGGCAAGATCACCGTGGACACTGACCCAATCCTCAACGTTGTTCAGCTCAAGGCTCTCCGGGATCAGATTGCTACCGCGACTAAGCGGGGTATTGGTGCGAGGTATTGGAACACACCCTCCTGGCCGGTCCGTCAGCGGAATCTTGTCTGGAGAACGCTCTTGCGTGAGGGAGTGGCGCTACTGAATGCCGATGATCTTGATGCTGTGATTGCGGAGTTTTAAGCGTGTTGGTCAATCCGTTCTTGTACAGTATGTACTACCTACCTGTATTACAAGCTTCAAATAGAAATAAAGATGTCAGATTCAAATGTGGGACTATGAAACTCCTGTAATGCCTATTTGCATAACGCTTTCAACGCCTTTGCTCGAATAGTTCTTTCTCCTAAACGCCGTTATCCTCAGATAAAACAGTTTGATGGACCATGAGGATGATTCATTGTATCCCTCATCGTCCTCAAGCAGATCTTAGGCAGGTGCGGCATTTGTGTGTCGACTGCTTAGCCTCGATGAAATGGATGTACCGGTTCGAGCAACGTTCGTCCTCGCTGGCGATATGTCGCGCACACTTGATGAACTCGCCTCCGAGGGTATGGCCGCAGCTGTAGCGAACTTGCAGCTGTGTGCATTTGTTTGGCATATTGTTCTCTCGGTCATATCTCAGTGTCTCTCTCAACTTTGCACGATGGGTATTCTCCGTATGTCTGAGTTACTCACCATCCCATTGGAAGCGTGACTCATCCCACTTGTCGTATTTGCCAAAGTACTTTTCGTACCTGGCGTACTTGTCGTACGCCATTTCGATACGTTTCTCGGTGACTTGAAGTTCGTCAGGTTTAGGGAACGGTATTTCTGAGGCAGTCTTCATCAGTGTCTTTGGATTCCTGTCATCATCTCGTGCCGCGGGATGTTGTTCTCACTCGATTTTGCAGGAGTCTGGGGTGAGTTTTATACCTGTAGACGATGGGGAGTTTGAGCGAGGTTGGAAGTGAGAGTCGATGGAGATACGGTCGAAGAAGGCGTGTCTCCCTCCATCTCGCGACTTCAAAGTGCAGACATGGAAAGCAGCTTGCAGGGTACACACTGTGAATTAGTGAGGCCTACTACTATCACTCTGAGCCTTGAACTTCTAGATTACTCCAGCTATTGCTCAATGCAGAGTATCTTGTCGAGGCTGATTATCATACTTCTATACTCCGTAGTCTCTGGTGACGGCGAATCACGCAAAAGAATTTAGCGTGCCGCTTCGGGTTCAGCGCCTCCCTGAGCGTTACTATCGCCGTGCGTATTTCTATAAAGTCGCCTTCATCGCCGCTTTAACTCCTAGCTGTTTTTTGCCCTTCTGTTCTTCCTTCCTCTCCGTTCCTGGTGTACGCCTTACGAGCAAGGCATTGTTGCGTGGTACTTCCAGCAGTTCCCTTTATAGAATAGAAACCCCTTCCGCCTCGGATTACGAGGAACGGGAAGACCTCTTGAGATATATTATTCTAAGCATTCACTCAGTTAGGGCCGATCTAAAATGCCTCCTTACCTGCTCTACTGAGTAATCTTTAACTAATCGCAAGCTTCATTCGTATGATTTATGGAAAGTCAAAGTTGATAACGTATCTGACTATTTGACGACTAGCGATATCATTACTTAGGAAATAGCAGACTAAGGCAGTAATTCCGTTAGGAAGAACCTACCGTATAGCTTTTATGATGCTGGATCATTGAAACGCAAATTATTACACGACAGTTTTAATTCTAGACTTAGACGATCCGAAAGACTCATAAAAAGAGCTAGAACCAGACGATATGGTTCTTTCTTCGTGTATTCATTAATAATAAACGCGGAGATGAGAACATAAATGTGGCAAGGATTATTGAAGACGAGAGGGGATACAGGGGAGGAAGAGGAAGGAAGTACTGGGTGATAAGAAGCAGTTAAAGTTGACGAATACATCCTGAACCCTAATAGGACATTCGACGCGGTAGTTGCCCTGTCTTCTGTTGTGAATCGTCTAGTAAAGCAACTATGGCGACCTAAATAACAACTTAGTTATAACGTGATTCACGGCCGACCGAGCCACACGGCCGACCGGGCCACCCCATCCAAAATCGCGTCTTTCTACCAACACAGTAACTTTAACCACCTGCCATGCCACCAATTCGATCTGAATCTTCGCAGAAATTAGCCAATCAAGAGGGCAAGATCTTATTAGCCCTTGATGATATTCAAAATGGCCGCATCAAATCTATCCGCGCAGCAGCTAGCCTATATGCAATACCGCGGTCAACACTGCAAGCACGCGCTGATAGCCGAATCTCACGCGTTGATAGCCGCCCAATTAGCTATAAACTGACCTAATTGGAAGAGGATTCACTCACTTAATGGATTCTCTCTATGGATTCACGTGGAGTAGCGCCTAGGCCTGCTACTGTACGAGAGATGGCTAATATCCTTCTTGCTGCGCCTGGAATAACCCCTACGCCTACTGTTGGTATAAATTAGCTATCAGGCTTCATTAGACGCCGCGATGAGCTTCGATCGCGCTTCTCAAGTAACGACTACCAGCGCGTATTAAACGAAGACCTAAAGACCCTCCGAGCCTAGTTTATAACCGTACAAAGCGTGATTAACGAGAACGGGATATAACCGGAGGATATCTACAATTTTGATGAGGTAGGCTTTGTAATAGGCCTTATATCTTCGTAGAAAGTAGTCACTAGGGCTGATTACTACGGTCGGAGATCGATTCTACAGCTAGGTAATCGCGAATAGGTTACTGTAATCGAAGCTATATACGTAGACGGCTATATACTACCGCTATGCGTAATCTTTAAGGGCAAAGTGGCTATTGTAGGGTGGTTTAACGATAATCTACCTAGAGATTAGCGAATCGAGATCTCTACGAACGGCTAGACTACTAATAAGATTAGCCTAAGCTAGCTAGAAAAGCACTTTATCCTGTATACTACTTCGCGTATACGCGGTCGATTTCGGCTACTAATTCTTGATAGCTATAGTAGCTACCTTATACCCCTATTCGACCGAATATGCGCAGAAAACGATATTATACTACTTTATATACCTTCTTATTTATTATATCTACTACAACTACTAGATATTAGCTGCTTTGCTCTATTAAAGAGGGTATACGGCCGTTTTGTTAGCGATCTTGCGCGCCGAGGATATAACTATATCGATAAACACGATTTCTTAGTAGACTACTAATAGGCGCGGCCAGAAGCCTTCTAACCAGTCACTATACAAAATAGCTTCGTAGCTAGTAGCCTAGTACCAGTAGATACAGAGAGAGTACTTAATAAGCTTAATATCTCTCTACGTACTCCGTCACCACTAAGTAGCCGGCTAAACAGCAGATCTAGCGAATTCGTGCTAGAAACTCCTAAGACCGTAGCTTAGCTATATAAGCAAACTAGTATAATAAGGCGTCTACTAGATCGGCGGTCAAAAACCCCTCTAAGCCTATTACAAATAGTGGTAGATCGGGTTATTAAGGGCCACTACCTAACGCTACACTCTCTTGTATTGCTTATGCAGGATAATACGAATTTGCGCATAGCCAATAAGAAGATCATCAAGAAAGGCACTCGATCAACTAAGCACCTACCCTGCGAAGAGGGTTTGACCATTGAAGAGGCCCTACAGCTAGCTGCGCAGCTAGATTTACCGGTAGAAGAAGATGTGGTAGAATCGCATACAGAGATTGAATTACCTAGTCAGCCAACTATCCTAGTAGCTAGGGCTCCGCCTAGGTGTAGTGGGTGTAGGGAGATTAGCCACAAGATCAATACATGTAAAAATCGTATATTTAGTTAATTTAATAGGTGTTGGTTAGGATAACCGGTTTGAATTATTCTAAATGTGGTAGGGTGGCCCGGTCGGCCGTGTGGCTCGGTCGGCCGTGAATCACGTTACGACTATAGATAGCCTGAAGCTTCAGGCGACCGTTGTGTCGAAACGCTTAAATTCTTCCTTTTGAGGAATAATTTCAGAGATTAGATAGTAGCAGGCTATATTGAGTGTGTTTTGTCGGATTAGACGTATTCCCCTTCTGTGAACTGAATGGTAAGTCAACGACGACATCATGTTGGCTAAGAGAGAGGTCTTGCCAACATTAAGTCGCGAGTTTCAACAAAGTATTTAGGCCTGCAAACATTGTTATGAGTCCTGCGTATCTTTTCGTATTTAGGAAGAGCCCATTTTATCTCCAGCCTAAAATAAAGCATTGAGCGCAACATTGAGTAAATAGAGCACGACAATACAACCATTTGGACGACATTGATAGTGGCAATGTCAAAGAATGATTGTATAGCACTCGACGAATTTGCTACGAACCTCACGATCTTGGACTAATGCAAAACCAATACTGGAGTACGGCGCTACAGAGAACGACAGAAACCGAACATATCAGGATTAATGGATAGGTGTTAGCAACTCTTGTTTTCTTGCTGATCTATTCTTTGTATATTTGGTTGTGGGAGGCAATTAATCGCACTTGATGCCGTGATATTATCAACAAGCACAGAGTCTTATGTTATCTCCCAATAAACTTGTCAGACTTAAGTGGCTTCATTAAAGAGACAATCGTGATGGAGATTGAGTTCGATGGTGAGTGCTTGTTATGGTTGTGATTGACACAGTACGCAAATTGCTGCAAGGGCCAAAGGGCGTTCAAGTTTGAAGATTAGGCCAAAAAAAAAAGAAAGTCAAATGCAAAAAGGCGTCGGTGGGTAGAATGAAAAGAATTTCATATACGAGAACGTGACCTCCTGGATGAATGCCCCGAGTTCGCCAGATCCGAAATAATCCTCGGCCCAAGTTGCTAACACTGTTAAATTTGTTTTTCTTAAAGTAGTTTCTCCTCCCTCTCCTCCCTCACCTCCCTTTCCTCCCTCTTTATCTTCAACCTCTTGATCCACTCCACGGTGTACTCATCCGGGTCCCAAATGAGACGCCATGTGTTCCTGTCTCTGCGCTTCGCACTCACACACTCCTCCATAAGTTCCTTCTCTCCGGGCTCCAAAACGTGGTCTCTCCCGCCAGAATCTGACACCGGAAAACTCCATATTGGTTGTCTTGAATCCAGCTTAGTAGAACTCATTAGATTCGATAGTAGTTGAGATTCCATATTTGAGGATCATGTGTGATTTGAGGCACACTGCCTTCAACTATACTGCTTCAAGGGCTCTTGTTATGGTACCTGGCACGTGACCAGTGAGGACAGGGTAAAACCACAGCGCCCTCGAGAATCCACGTTCACTTTCCTCCAACCTCGCCCTTAGCGACATCTTATTGGGTACAGGCGCGCAATGGCACCGGATGGCGATCTGGCAGATCTCTTGGCCAAGGTGCTCCCCACCGGCGCCGAACTAACTGTTCGCCATGTTTCCTCAACTCCAGCCCCTTCGGCCGCTCTCTTTGCGGCTGCGCCCGGCCAGGATCCGGAGTCAACGTTCTGCGAAAATCATTTCCTTTCAGTCTCAATTAATTCCTCTGAGCATGATGGAGCAGAGATCATCGTATTCGGAATGGAGGTGCTGGTTTACAACACGGCCCACCTAACAACCGTCTTTGTTTCAAAGGCCGACTCCACCGGGTTTCTACACCTCTTGAAACTACCACAGAAAGTTTCTGTTCTGAGACTCGTCTCAAATACCTTTCTATCCTATCTAGCACGATCTCATCAGCGTCCAGGAGTTCGCCTGGTAGTGTCCTTGTTTGCTCGTGCCCAGGACCAGTACCTTTTCCCTGGCAGCATCGAAAATGCTGAGAAGCATGTCCTGGATGATCGAGGCCTGATCAAGTGGTGGTGTCGCGCAGTTGACCCTATTCTCCGCGACAACGAGTCTGAATCGGTTTCGAAAGACTTGACAACGCGCCCAATGGTCGAAGCAGCTAAGGCATCCGCCACCGCGTACCTAATCGTACCCGGATGCGACCGCTTCGAGACACGTAACTTTTTCCCTCCATCTGCCAAATCCGATCCTCACGATCGGCCACGATGGCTTGCCAGCTATCCTCTTCAGCAAATGTGTCGCGATCCATCAGCGTCACCGCGCTGTCTTGTACCCCGGCTCCCGGATGATCCTAAGACACGATTCCTGATAGATCTTGACGATGAGCTTCCCGAGCCTGTGGAGGGGAAGAATTCCCCTAGTACTGGTCAGTGGAAGAGCGTCAAATCCCTCGATCAGTTTTGGGAGATGATGTCTTTCCGTCAGGAGTGCTCTGCTGGTCGGCTTGTCGGGTTCTTATGGCTTATTATCAATCCGCCAGGCCTGATGAACTCTACGACTATGGCTAGCCAAACTGGTAGCATATCCAGTGCGATCCCGGCTCCTTCTGGAGAGAAAGGCTTCGAAACGTCGTGTTCGGAGGACCAGTCACAGCAGAATGCTAGCAAGTCGAAAACGGAAGAGTCTGCAGCTGAAGCAAGGGCGGACGTTCAACCCGGCGAGACCACTGAGCCCCAATCTAAGCCAGCGAGCTCTTTGGAACACCCACTAGTCGTATCGTCGGCAGAGCTTCAATCAGCGAACACGGTTCCATTTTCCTGGCCAGAAGCCGGGCGCGGAGATGTGGTGCTTAGTGAAGCAGACTACAAGAAGATGATGGACGGAGTACTAGACCATTTCTACGATGCAGATGAGATAGTGGCCAGCACCAAGTCTTACATCGATCAAGTCGCCACCCTAGCGGATCAATTGACCTGGGGTAAACGAGTGACGGGTATCCGCAACCCACAGGACACAATCAACCAAGACGTCGCAACAAACAATCTTCTTGGTAGCGGACTGATTCGCAAACGAAAGAAACCTGCGATCGAGGAAGGAAAGAAGGATTCCAATGAGGCTATTATAGCACAACCAAGCGGGTCAGGGGATTCCGAGTCAACCACGTCGCAGCCAACTGCTGTTAATGTGCTGAGTGCAGGCTTAGTTCGGAAAAAGAAGAAGACATGAGGCATATGATTAATTCTCTCTTCTTGATCGCTCTGGGGGTTCGGTGTTTGGGGAGGAGTTACTCATTTCAATATCAAAAACGAAATAGGCGGAAATTTTACCACGAATACAGCATCTTTTCCAGCAGTCTTTCCCATGGGGTATGTTTTTCCAATCGACATAATCCATGTTAGGTGCATGAATGAGGATCTAAGTGGCCGTGGGTACGATCCAATAAGAACGCCTGGAAGTGTGACAACTCATCTGGGGCGCTTATAAGGGGCTCAGCTTTGGGGGCGGCTCTCGCATCTGCGCCCTTTCCCACACTGTCCTTCTTGTGGATTTCATTCGTCGCAAGCTTTCCGCAGCCAGTGCTGTGGATATACAGCTCTTGCCATGGGGGACCCGTTCTCCGTGGCAGGCAGTGCCGTTGGAGTGATATCCCTAGGTCTCAAAAGTCTGCCAAGGTCTAGCATTGTACATCAACAGATACAAATCTGCGGACAAAGAGATTCGCAACTTCGAGTGCAAGGTCGAAGGTCTAGAGGTGTTTTTGCCGTACTTCTGGTGGCTTTCTCTCCGTCGTCACGCTTGAGCCGGGTTATCCACAATTCGTTCCGTATCAAAAAAACGACGAGTATTCAAGCGCAATACAGGACGTTTAACATATTCTTGCGATATTCACTTTGTGTTTCTATGCACATTACTACGGGGGCAGGTGGCTTCGCGATCAGCCCAAATCTAACCTCCGGGCAGTCGTTAGGGACTCACCTGCATTCCGCTTGGTAAAGACGCCAACGAATCCTCAGAGTACGAGGCCGGTGGGCCTGAAGTGCTCAGAGATCTTCGTATGAAGTTTCCCTTCCTTTTCAGGGAGGTAAAGCATCCCCAACCCATGTATATCTTGGAGGCCAAACTGTTTTTCATGTGAGTACTTACCTCAGGGGGCACATTGACCATGCCTAAACCCCAGAAAAAGTGTCCCATGCTCTTCATCACCACTGCATCTTATTCTAAAAATCAGGCGTGTCATCAAGCCGCTCATCAACTTCTTGCTCAGTTGTCATCCGCAAAGATCCTGCCAACCAGTGTTGACGATGATGGAATGACTGTTGCCGACACATTGTTGCATGAGCTTTCTGCTAATGTTGGAGGACGTTCCGCCAACCGAAGAACAAATAAATCGAGTGCGTGATCTTGGGGTAATTCTCGATGGAGTGGAAAAATACTCGTCTCCAAACGAAGTGGACGAGGAAGAGTGGGAATCGGATGCTGAATCAAGCTGAGTTACTGGTAGCTCAGCTTGATTGGAATCATACTCGTTACACTTCTTATCCGGCATTTTGAGATAGTCCACTAAACAATACTATGTCTCCAATGTTCTACCTCGTATTCGTATGCTCACAAAGTAGACTCGCGGATCTAAGCTGGCTAGCTATAAAGACTCCATACTTAGGATGTAACATGGAATTAAGCGAATTGTCCATTGGGGTGTTACTGGGTGACATATAACTACATCTGTAAATAATCGAGCGCATACACTCACAAAATAGGCTGAGGAAAATGCACAGACAAGCGACTAATACACGTCGTGGCGGTACCCCTAGATGGACAACCCGCGACTTCCGAACTGCGCTGCGAAATTGGCGATGCCCTCGACTCCACTCTCGATTGTCCTCCACCTTTTCTCCATAACCACCACCAACTACTCAATTCCTTCCTCTCCTGCTCCTCCTCCTCCCACCTCGAGGACTCCTCCCACCCTAGAATGTCCTCTTCGCCTATCGACATCCTTCTGCTCTCCCTCCGAGTCTCATGCTAGAGCCGGCCTCGTACCTCCTGGAACTGCCCATCGGCGATGGCGCAATGCCCGTGTCCGTTGCGGCGGGCTGGGTTGGTTTAATCTGGTATATCACTGTGCTGGTTGTCTGTGCCTTGGGATATTTTCAGATGTAAGGGAATCTCCAGGGGAATCGTGAAGTGTTCCTGGTCTTGTCTTGTTCTTGCCCCGCGTGCTCACGCCCGCGGGGACACACTAGTCTTGAAACGATGGGGTTTGTGGCTGTAACTAACAAGTGGATTTCTTGGTATCCAGTTGGCGATATTTCTTGCGACGACCCCGACGCTCGGCATTGGCCGAGAACACTGACGCGCCTCATGTCACGGCGATTCGACCGGTGAAGGGTCTCGAGCCACATCTGTACGACTGCCTTGCGGCCACCTTTCGCCAGGACTATCCGCGTGACAAGCTCACCGTCTGTCTCTGCGTGGCCACGCGCGATGACCCAGCCTACCCGACCCTTTGCAAGCTCCTTGCCGATTTTCCAGATGTCGATGCGCGTGTTTATGTCGAAGAGGCGGACCCATTGTTGCAAGGCAGCGGCCCTGACGCCTACGCGCTTGGGCCTAATCCAAAAATTCGGAATATGAGCCGTGCGTACCGTGAAGCGAAAGGCGATATCATTTGGATCATCGATTGCAATGTCTGGGTAGGAAAGGGTGTCTGTGGTCGCATGGTGGACCGACTTTGCGGAACAGGGGCTACTTCAAGCAAGAAATTCAAGTTTGTACACCATCTGCCTGTCGCAGTGGACGTTACGGGCGAGAACAACTTGGGTGGAGAGCGACAAACGTTGTTAGATGCCCGTCCAAATGCCACTGTACCGAGGGCTGCAGACCTGTCTTTGACGTCGAGGCGACCAGAAGATGGGTTCACGAGCGCCATTGAAACGGGTGGTGGTCGTCTGGAGGAGCTGTTCCTTTCTTCGTCGCACGCTAAAATGTACACGGCAATTAACACGGTCCTCATTGCCCCGTGCATCGTAGGCAAGTCTAACATGTTCCGTCGCTCACACCTGGACTACCTCACTGCTCCGGCCCCAGGAGATCGCAACCATCGACGCCCTGGCGTTGACTACTTCTCGGACAACATCTGCGAGGACCATCTGATAGGTGACTTGCTTTGGCGCAAGAAGATCCGGGAAGAGAAGGAACTCGGCGAGCGTTGGGGCAAACATGCCATGGTATTTGGGGACCTAGCAATCCAACCCGTGGCTAACATGAGTATAAGAGGATACATTGCTAGACGAGTGCGATGGCTCCGGGTCCGCAAATTCACTGTGCTCCTTGCAACCCTCGTCGAGCCCGGCACAGAGTCTTTTGTCTGCTCAATCTACGGCGCCTGGGGCATCACGACCGCGCTGGCCCCTTACCTCGAGCAGAAGGGATACTCTTTTGCGACCGGCCTCGCTACCTGGACCTCATTCTTCGCAATCTTTGCGCTGAGCATAGCAGTCTGGATCCTTGTTGACTGGACCCTATACATCAAGCTGCACTCCGCAAAGTCTATCGAGCTAGACGAGGATACCCCGGTCTTTGCACGGCCTAATCGCCAACCTTCTCAAGCCACGCGTCGACCATTCCTGCAGTGGTTCGCCGCCTGGCTGGGCCGCGAACTCCTGGCATTGCCTATCTGGATCATAGCTGTCTATGGTGGCGTCACGGTTGTCTGGCGAGATCGGCGATTCAAGGTTGGATTTGACGCCAAGGTTCGCGAGATTGACTCGGAGAGTGCGGCGCCATCGGAGGGCTCATACTCTACTGGGTCTGTTGTAGACTGGTTTCCTGTGTCACCGCAAAGCAACGGTGGAGTGACAGGGAAAGTCCGTCGTGACTGATGAGTTGCATTTACATCTGTACAAAAATCCATCCACGAACTGTATATTATCGTGAAACTATAGATAGTGCTCTTCATATATATCCATCCTGAGTCTAAGATTTACCTTACATCAGAAGATCGCTCTTGCCTACCTCTCCCTGAGGAGGACCCTGAGATCTCATACTCGTTAAAACATAGAAAGAAGCATGCGTTGCGTCTATTGAACCAAACTTCTTATGCCTTTCATATCCATAACGAACATCAACATGACAAAAGTCATCCTTCAAACCAGCGAAATTACGCCGACTTCTCCCCGTCCGTAGCACTGCTCTCCAAACCAGCCGCCTTCTCCGAACTCAACAGCCACTCAACAACCTGTCTGCCAGCAGACATCTCCCCAACATCAGCCTTCTGCTGACCGTCACCCTCTTGCTCGTCCTCGCCAATAGTCATCTCAATCTCCTGCGGCTCCTCAGCATTCTCATCGCCATCGCCCTCTTCCTCCGCGGCAGCTGACCAAGCCGCCCGCTCAGCCAGAAAGACTGCATCATGACCCGCGTCATTCTTGATAGCGACGTCTGCGCCAGCCTCAACGAGGGCCTTCACACATTCTAGGTGCGTGTTTAGCGCGGCCCAGTGCAGGGGCGTGTTGCCGGAGTTGTTGCGGTGGTTGATGAATGCGGTGTGCTGGGCTGCATCCAGCGTAGACAGTTTTTGGAGGAGTGTGTTAAGGATTTCTGATCTCATCAGTATAAATATTCATCAAGGAGGGGGGATGTTGGAGAGGACGGTAGGGTGACGGCACATACCGCTATTTCCATTCGCGGCGGGGAAGTGCAGCACGCAGGAACCTGTGCCTCCTTCGCTCTCATCTTCCATGTCAATGGCAGAGGCGACGATGTGCGACTCTGGACAGCTATGCTGTGAGGCTAGAGTGGTGATGTCGGTGTTCAGGGCCTCGAGATCACCAGCGCGGGCATCGTAGATGAGGTCGTCGATGGCCTCGAATGAAAGCGCGACTGGTACTGTCGGCTTGGGCTTTGGCGTGGAGGCAGACATGTTGTGTGCTTTTAGTCTGATAAAATGGAGTCTCAACGATGTCGTCTGGTTGTGTTGCAACTCCCACTCTCAAATGTGGGTTTTCCTGGGTTGGATAGTGTCCAGGTGGAGAATTTTTTTTTGGCTTGCAGAGAATTTGATTTTTCCTGGCGAGTAAGTTAGCAAGAGTATATTGGACCGATATAAGTGTCAAAATGTATCATCTGAACAATCAGTTCATCAAATCTTTCACAAAGCTCCAGCATGGGTCTTTATTCTTCATGTGGCCCAAGCATCCCAGGATTTGCATGAGCACTGATAAGGCACTGATCAAAGAGGCGCTTTTCAGTCCACCAAGGCAATGTAGGATTCAGACCTCAGGGTCATAGAACAGATGCAGATACGGGCCATACACAGGGAATAGGCTAGTTCTTACCTCTGTGTTAGGTCTTTAACGTTTAGAATATGGCGATAGCAAAAGTTACTGATCCGAAAGAAACTTTGATATCGCAGGTCACATGACTTATGGTGGGGTTTGATAGAATCAGTAGGACTTACTTCTACGGAGAATTGAAGTGCAGGAGGTTAGGAGATATGTTCCAAAGCAAAACAGTGGCCTTAATACACAAGTTCAATGACTCGTTCCATCGCCTGTATATCATACAATGCAGTTCGCAAACGCTTGTCAAGCCCAGCACAGCAAAACTGCCCACTTCTATGCACATGAAACAACCCAGAAACAGAAACAACCATGAACGCCCCAATAATTCCCACGCCCGGTGTGTGGGTGGTATCTCAAAGTCCCAATATGCAAATGGCATCCTGTTATGCGACAACATCGAGTGAGAACAAGCTAGTCTGTAGATCACACCAGCTCGTCTTCACCCGATTCTAGCTTTCAGCTTCCGTTCCCAATTAATCCCGCAACCACGCCCTTCGCTTCTCCTCTTTCTTTTCCCGGCGCTTCTCCTTGAACATCTTCAGCTCCTGCTTGCTGAGCTTCTTTGCGCTCCGCTCGGCCTTGAGACTCCGGCCATCGTGGCTGTTGGCGGCAGCATCAACGCCAAAGAAAGCATTCATCTGCCGCCGAGACTTGTTCTCGTCATTGTGATTCTCTGGGTTGATAGAAGCCGCCTGCCAACGGCCAGTAAACCGGTTGAATGTACCTGCGGCGGTATATGCGGCTGATGGATCGACTCCGGGTCCAGTCTTTTGCGGTTGTTCCTCATACTGTTGCGCATAGGGAGCGGTCGGGTCGTAGTCGCCATGGATTGCAGGATTGTACCCTCCTAGTACAGGTTCTTTTTCTCTCCGGGGGTTCTGGGATAGCGGGTGCGTTGGCACTTTCCGTGCCTGGGGCTGGGGCGTGGGGTACGCGGGGGTTCTCCCACTGGGAGGCTCCGGTGAACCGGTTGTAGAAGTAGAATGCCTGGGCGTTGGCATCCCATACGGGCTCCCATCCATCATCCTCTGCTGGGCCAGGCGGTGCCTCGTCGGGAAGTGGCGGAGGGACCTCGTCGGGTAATGGTGGCGCGGAGTTTGTGTCATCGGGTTTGTCGTCGGTTTCCTGGCTCTCCAGCTGTGCTTCTTTTCCTTCGTGCGGATCCTCTAGCTGTGTTTCTTCGGGTGTATCTGCTGTCTCCCTTCCAAGCTCAAGCTTCTCCTCTGGATCAGCCTGAGACGAGCCTGGCTCAGATGGAGTGCCAAGGCGTTCCTCCACAGGGGACACCAAGGCGCGTGGCTGGTCAGACATCCTGTCAATTAGCACTGCTTCCCCTGTGACAAACTAGGGATCGATGAGAGCGCGAAATCATCGGCGCATGAGAGTCGAGGTAGGAGAGAATCTGGCAACTCACGAAGCTTGCGACAGGTCAAACTCACCGCCTATGCCTAAAGCGGCCTAGCGTGTATTTAGTGATATCATGTGTATCCGAGCCGAAGACTTGAGAAATACACGAGCATAGACTGAAAGGGAGCCCGACATTGTTGGATGTGCAGTTATTTTGGTTGATGTCTACTCTACGACGTATCAGAGTGTACTCGGTCTATGCAGTCATGCCGTGAAATGCGAGTATCTCATTTCCCACTGAATCGCTCGCTTGAATACCAACCACGCTATTCCATCTGCCGGATTCCCAGAACTTCACATTGGTTTCTTGAATTGAGAGATGTTAAATGTATCAAACGGTGTATTGGCTGCATTTGATGGTATATATACTGTTTTCTAAAGTTTGAGTGAAATATCTTCATTCCCTGTTCGCTATATTCTAGACGGTAGCTGTCCGCACCAATATACCTAAGAGAGCAGTCTACCGAGTACAAGCTACCGCAAAAGACGAAGGTCCTTCTTTTCGCGAAGTCGCATGTTAAATCTAAGTTCTCGAGTGCTGTAATACGGAGTTGGCGCAGAACCACGAACAAAGCCACCAAACCAACAAACTCATTTTACAGAATCCATACGAACAAATTGGATTGGAAAACAACCTGAAGCTAGGGTTACATATGTACTTGAAACTTATCATCACCTCTGAGGTAGCAGCTAATACACACCTGAATTTCTGATTTGCAACGAGAAGACCTAATTATCGTTATCATGGGTGTTTGTGCGAGGTCTCGTGACGCTTCAGGGCAAAAGAAAGAAGCTCACTTGTTTCAATTTTGTCCTGGTCAAATATACCGAGGCAGTTTATATAGGATAGCTATCACTTTTAATATGAAAACGTGAGTCCCAGATGTACATCAAAAACAGACGCATGGTGGTTATGAGGATTGCCGCCGACGGAACCACCCCGGCTGGCCAGATTCGCACCAAAATTCCGCAATTGTCATTCATATTATGCGACATCCATAGGCCCAGCTTTGATACGATTATTGCTAACCCCACATTCGGGATTTTTCTCCCGGTAATAAAGCCACTTGTGGTAGGGTAGATCTAACTCGAAACTCACGACGACCATCAACCGAGCTAAATTACCGAGTGAATATTCCGAGACAAGTCCAAACTTTATCAACACCGTTGCTCCCACGTTGGAATCAAAACTCCCACGTTGGAATCAAAGTCGTTATGGGCAAATTGATTATTTTGATCGCTCAATTCTAACCCGACAACTTGCACCACCGTTAAAGTTCCGCTATTTATTTACAATGTCTTTGTCCTCGAGTTTGGGATCCATCCGGTCGATGCTTCCAGCAGCCATTGCAAATGCCAGCCCAGCCGTTATTCTAGCTGCGGGCTTTACTTTAGCTGTCAGTTGTACCTGACTCTGGTCTTTTTATAGTGTATGCTAAGCACAGCAGCCCCTATGCTCATTCCTCATCTACGTGATCTACAACCTTTATTTTCACCCACTTGCCTCATTTCCTGGCCCGAGGTTGAATGCATCAACGCCATTCCCTCTGTATCGAGCAATCTTGTGTGGGAACTTGCCTATGTACACAGAAAGATTGCATGCCAGATACGGCGAGGCTGTACGTATCGCTCCAGGCGAAGTAACCTTTATCAATCCGGATGCATGGAAAGACGTCTACGCCATTCGCCCGGGTAAAGCGCAGAAGCCCAAAGACCAGCGCCATGTTTCAGTGGGGCCAAATCATATTCCCAGCATCTTAAGAACAGATGATCAGACGCATGCGAGATACCGGCGATCCCTCTCGCACGGCTTCTCAGAGTCCAGTCTTCAGAAACAGGAAGTTATAGTTAAGGGCTACATCGACATGTTGATCCAGCGATTGCAAGAACTCTGCAAACCCGGAAGTACGGTTGTCGATATGACAAATTGGTACAACTACACAACTTTCGACATCATTGGCGATCTTGCCTTTGGTGAATCCTTCGGCTGTCTCGAGAATTCCAAGTATCACTTCTGGGTCTCCGTCATCTTTAGCCACTTCCGAACCGCAGCATGGGCTAACATCATGCGCCGTGTGCCCTTCGGCCAATATCTGATGAAATGGATCGTTCCGACGAAAGTGCAAGCGGAGAAAACGGCACAGAATAAGATGACTCACGAAAAGGTTCGAGCCCGTATCAATTCTGGAGACAATGGCCGACCCGACTTCTTGAGCAACGTTCTCAAGCAGCCTGCCGAAAAGGGCATGAGTGAGGATGAGCTGGTTTCAAATTCTTACGTGCTAATCATCGCTGGTTCGGAGACCACCGCTACATTGCTTTCCGGTGTGACGTACTATATCCTTACCGTACCTGGAGTCATGGACAAGTTGAAAGCAGAGATTCGAGGAGCTTTCGCGGCAGAAGCGGAGATTACCTGGTCGGCGGTTAACCAGCTTCCCTATACTCTAGCCGTCTTGAATGAGGGCTTGCGGATGTATCCACCTGTCCCTTTTGGCTTCCCGCGCATGGTTGAGGGCCTGGGCGATTTTGTTTGCGGTAGATGGATCCCTGGAGGAGTCAGTCAACGCCCACACTCACTCAATTGTTCTGTTCTGACGAGAGTTTCTAACGATCAATGCTACAGACATCTATTGGGGTACCTATTCTAGCCGCTAACCGGTCTGACACCAACTTCCACAAGTCTAAGGAATTCATTCCCGAAAGATTTATGGGAGATCCCGAATTTGAGTCCGATAAGAGGAATGCAGTGCAACCATTTAGTGTCGGCCCGCGCAACTGCTTAGGGCGAAAGTAAGTTGACTGCGCGCATTTTGGTTCCAAAGAATATCCGTTGTATGATTGTCATTGGCTAATGTTTAATAGCTTGGCATATGCAGAAATGCGATTGATTCTGGCTCGTATGATCTGGAACTTCGACATGGAGATTGCGCCCGATTCCTGGAATTGGATAAATCAAAAGGCGTATGTCGTGTGGGAGAAACCCGCTCTGAATGTAAGATTAGCACCGGTAGCACGTGTTTAAGTGGATGGTGGCCTTATGATTATATATGAGCTTAATCCAAATTGTCTTGTGGCCATGAGGGCAGACCATATAGGACCTCAGAAGACGTAGGACAGTCGTAATAGAAGTGACTAGCCAGATCTACTGCCAATGGAGCATGGGCTAATCCTACAATTTTTTCTTTGCATCCCTGTCGCTATAGACACTGTCTATGTAAATCCAAATCCCAATATTGGAATCCATACGCATCCAATTTACTAAATTACCTACTTTATTCACATTGGCTCGTATGATCATTGACCAGCTGGCTAAGAGCCGAGATCCGATCTTGTCTGTTGCCGTCGGGGCCTGTGCGGCCGCCATGGCAACCTGCGAGAACCTGGAAGGCTCATTAAACCTATCCCTTTGAGGCATTAAACGTCTCTTTGAGAGTCAACCCTTTTTTGGCTTGTCCCATGGGGTGCTATACCAGATAATCCGTGGTGTCTGGATTGACCGACAGTCCTTTGAAACATTTTTTCGAACCCTTTGTTTACCACTTGCTTCGCCTTCCAGGAACGCCCTCAATAAACCTTGAGCCTGCCACCCCGCCTCGAAGGAACCGACAATTCTGGATCACCGAGAACTTGGTTAAAAGATCTAAGATGGCCGATACTGCCCCAAAAGTCGCTGCAGAGGAGCGACGCGAGTCCCTCGCTGTCGTCGATCGGAAAGCCGAGGTCCTAGCAAAGCAAATCAAGAAGAGCAAGCATTTCATCGTGTTCACGGGTGCGGGTATCTCTACATCTGCAGGTATTAAGACACTCATCTGGTTTATTCTTTGGATAATTACCGATGACAGGCTATAGGAATTCCTGACTTCCGTGGTCCTGATGGGAACTGGACTCTCCGGGCCCAAGGCAAGCCGCGCACCAAGCATGCGAACACTCTCCAGGCGATTCCAACGTTATCACATATGGCACTGGTAGAGCTACAGAACCGTGGTATTCTGAAACTCCTTGTCAGTCAGAATTGTGATGGGCTTCACCGGCGAAGTGGTATCTTGCCTGTATGTGGCCCCCTTGCTCCCTCGATTCAGCAGGAGCAGCGCCTGGTGCTAACCCCTTTTAAGGAGAGAATTGCCGAATTGCATGGGAATAGCAACCGTGAGGCCTGCAATAATTGCAACAAGGAGTACATTCGAGGTAATCAAATTCACCGCCGTTGGAAAAGATTTAGTCTAATACCCACTCAGATTTCCGTGCCGTCTCAACCTACGAGAACGGTATCCACGACCACCGAACAGGTCGCAAATGTGCCCGTTGTGGCGGGGCTCTAATCGACAGTATCATCAACTTCGGCGAGAATCTCCCAAAGCGAGATTTAGATCTGGCTTATCAACATGCGGAGCTGGCCGATCTCTGCCTCGTGCTAGGCTCCTCCGTGACAGTCACACCAGCCTGCAAGATCCCCACTATAGTCGGAGAGCGCAAAGGCGCGAAACTCGCTGTATGCAATCTACAAAAGACACCAGTTGACGACATCACCGACTATCGAATCTTTACTGAAACAGACATTCTCATGGCCAAGCTTATGGAGAAGCTGACCCTGCCAATTCCGCCCTTCATACTACGACGACGTCTCATAGTCAAGTTTGAAACACAGGAAGAAGATAGGCATAAATTGGAAGTCACCGGGGTTGACAGCGATGGAACACCCGTGACGTTTCTCCAGTCTGTTAGGCTTGAAGGGAGTCGACGTGTTGCTCGCGCGGAGCCATATATAATTCACGTTCGCGACGCGTTGCAGCCCGGCGAGAACTTGACATTGGACCTCGAGTTTATGGGCCACTTCAATGAGCCCAATATCGAGCTTGCTCACCTGTATAATGGCAACGAAGAGGTTCTCTATCTGCTGGAGTATGATCCTCAGACTGGAGAGTGGACAGTAGAAAGAAACGAGACTCCTCAACGCACCGTAGAGTACATAGTCCTGGACCCTTGATGGAAGTGACAGAAACTAGGGAAATCGAGGTGACAGCTTTGCCATACAACCCTAGTTTTGCAACGAACTTGTAATTCCCAAATTCCAATCAGATGACATGACACAACCAATCTCATCATTCGTCCCTGAAGGGTCATGCTGGGCTGACGTCGATGTCTGATGACGGGAGTCGTAAAGTGAGACCACCGAGATATTATCATCATGACTAGGTGGCTGATCAATCCATCGAAATTGGAACACTCGATTCGCTTCAGACAGAAGAGGTTGAGAGATCATTAATTGTGTCGTGTGGCACCCCCTCGGAGAAAGAAGACTGTTTTGTTTACGGTGATGGTCTTGGCCTTGGCCACGCTGCTTCTTTGATTTTGGTGCACGGAAACCGTGGGTTAGCTGCTGTCTGACCCAGGACTCTTTCGCATATATACCTCTAATCGGCCTCTTCTGTACTGTGAGGAAGATCTTGATAACGATAGAAAAGAAGTCATATGACGTGGGCTTGCCACGATCTTATTATGAAGCTCGGAAGTCGGGAGCCATCCCTTTCAGGTCTGCGATAAACTGTGCCAAAAGCTTCTCGAGATCCGTCAAAATGTTCTCTTCATCCCTCCCTGGGCCAGTACAAGGTCATAGGATTCCCCAATACTAAATCGAATGATACTCTTTAAATATGACATGAACCTCGTGTATAAAGCTCCCACGCTCAAGTAGGTACAACACTAAGTCACCACAATCTTCCCCTCCCCTCCCCAGTCCAGAACCCAGTACTCCTATTGTCAAACCTCCGTAGCTCATTCGCCTCAAGCCATTTCATGTCATCTTTACCATCCACAACATCTTCCTCGGCAATACTAGACGAATCAATCCATTTCGGCGAGTTTGGATTCCGCAAAGTTTTCAGCGATATCGGTGTTTGTGGCATCTTGAGCGAGCGTCGTTTGAGTAATCCAGTCATCGATTTTCTGATCCTTGATCTTTTCCCGGAGTCTTGAGCCTGAGTATCACCTCTGCTCTTCTCGCCCCTATTCTTCCGGCATTTTCTTGCCTTTTCTCCACTACTCCGATGGCAGACCTCGTTCTCACCCGTATCGATTGCTTGGTCTAGTTTCTTCGTTGGCGTATCAAATGGTGACTGAATAGTATCCATTTTGAGAACCGGATATTCAGGCATAGACAACGCCCTAATAGCACGACTTGTAGTCGGATCCAATGAATCCATTTCGTCAAAGAGTGTACAAATATTCAAATCCCAGGGTGCCGGTTGCTTCATATGAGCTGGTGATTCGGTCGGGACAACCGGTTCCTGAGATGAATGCTGGACCATGGTGGATGCAGATGCGATGCTCTCGGGAGGGGCAAAGGAGGCCGTGTGGGAGGTTGTTTTGATCAGATCGTTTGAATCATCATCCAGTCGTTGCGGCTGTGCATTTGATAATCTGCGGGAAAGTCGGTTTTCTCGTACATAACGAACCATAGATGCAATGAAGCCCATGATTATGGAGGGTATATTGTGGTGGATGAGTGGATTGAGTCTCGCTCGTGGTGTGAGATGAGGTGGGAGGTGCAGAGTTGATAAACTACGTCTGTGGCAGATCTGGGGCAAGGGGGATGGACTACAGTTGGTCTTACTGGACTGCATCGTAAGCTCATGCATAAGTACCTGAGCTTGGATAGCTGTATGGATTACAGCTACGATCAAGATTATGCTCGATTAGCTGATAAGCTAGTAGCTGCGGTGCAACCGTCGATCATAAAGGCTACAACTAAAGGATGAGGATGCAACGGCTTAAACTACGATAGATTCAATATTATTAAATCTGAAGCTTGATCGGTCATTGAAGGACAGGTGGTCTGGCAATTACATCAGTGACTGTAGCGAATGAGGACTCGATTAAGGATCGTCGCAGCGTATGCGGTGACAAACCCTAAATAACATCGGTTGCCACGGGCAAACTAACTTGTTACTTGGAGATTGCCGTTTGAAAGGTCCCATCGTAAAGCTGAAAGACACCTGCAGATCAAAACAAGTCCAATCGCATGCAGAACCTCATGCATTCTCGAAGGTGATCCCTCAAGGGCGCATGCAAGGACGCCCCGCCCCTTGGAGCTAGCTCCGCGAGCGATTATACCATCATAGCTCATCCGATCCTCCACCAGCTCTCACGGTTCGGTGATCGCATCATAGACCAATACAAGGCAATTGACAAAGTACCATCATTCTGCAACGAGTAACCAAGCCGTGGATGAAGGAATGCCTGAGTCAACCTCGACCGCGTTAATTGTCGCCAAACTCAGAGCTCGAGAATGCAGCTGTGCCTGAGAATGCGGTGCATGGACCACCCAGCCACGGCGGTGCTGCTCAGTCAAGTCGAGGTGATCCCTACAGAAAAGCTGTGTCTTTGTCTATGTCCACTGTGCTGATTTCTCATAACGTTTCTCAGGATCGCTGGTCTGCACCTGGCAATGAGGCGGTGTCTCAAATCACAATCATTTACCTTGGGCGAGAAGGTGATGATATGATACATCGCAGTGTACCGCAGAAGAAGGACAATATGATTCAAAAGCTTGCACATAGCGGTATAATTTCTACTCATGCTCTATTGCATCACTGAATCCAAATTCAAGTCACAAGAAAGAAGAAAGGAAATGGTCGAAAGAAATCATCCCAAATTACAGCTTGGCAGCCGGGGCATCGCTGTACAGACTCCGGGCCCGGTTCATAGATTCCAGAGCCTCCTTTTCAATACGACGGAGGAGCACCTCGCAGGTGGGGATATCATGAATCAAACCAATAACCTGGCCCGCGGTCCAGACCTAGAAGAATTGTCAGATAGGACACAAATAATATCACCCAAGAAGTGACAACTTACACCATAGTCAGGGTCACCGTTCAGGAAGACCTGACGACCACGCTTGCCGCTCACATAAGGTCCAATCTCAGCAAAGTCGCCAGTCGTGCTCTCCTTCTCAATCTTGAGAGCGTCTTGGGTGACCTTGTTAGCGAACAGGCGGGAAGTGTTCTTCCACCGACGCAGCACAAGAGCGGTATCCGTCTCCTGCGCCTTAACGATAGTCTCCTTGATATTTTGGTGGATAGGAGCCTCGACAGTGCTCATGAAGCGAGTACCCATGTTAATACCCTCGGCACCGAGAGCCAGCGCAGCGGCCAGACCGTGGCCATCAGCGAAACCACCGGAAGCAATGAAAGGAACGCCCAGGTCCTGGCGGGCACGGCTCAGAAGAATGAAGTTGGTGATATCGTGCTCGCCGACGTGACCGGCGCACTCGAATCCATCGATGGAGAGGAAATCAACACCCAGCTTGACGGCGGACTTGGCGTGGCGGATGGTGGTGCACTTGTGGAGGATGATGATGCCGGCCTTCTTGAGCTGCTTGATGACGGGGCCTGGATTGTTACCGGCGGTCTCGACGATCTTAATACCCTCGTCGATGATGACCTGGGCGTATGCGCCGTAGTCGGGGGGCACCATGGCGGGGAGGAGGGTCAAGTTGACACCAAAGGGGTACTTGGTCATTTCGCGGCATCGGCGGATTTCCTTGCGCAGGTCTTCGGGGGTGGGTTGGGTGAGGGCAGTGAGCTAGAAAGAGGACGTTAGGTTCTTGACACATTCGAATTTCGTGCTGTAGGAGAGCTGCCACGTACCAAACCCAGACCACCAGCGTTACTGACAGCCGAGGCCAGCTCGGCATATCCCACCCACTGCATACCACCCTGCACGACGGGCACTGTCTATCGTTAGAAGATGATGAAGGGTAGGAATCAGCGATCATGCGCATACCGCGAATGCCCAGCTTGCGGGTCAGGGCTGTGTTGAAAGGCATCGTGAAGATGTAAAGTGACGAATCTGGTATCTAATCGGGCGATGGAGAGGATCGGCGAAGGTCTATAGCTGAAATGCTGGACGCAAAGAGTCTTTCAGAGATAAACAGATCTGCGCAAGACAGATATGCGGAGTATAAGAATGTACGTAGGGAACAGAATCAAAAGAAGTCCGAGGTCTGAACAAAGATGATTAAAAAGCGCCCCCAGAGTCACCCCAGGTAGCCGCGGACCTCTGCTGTGGGGGGGAATGGAGTTGCCGAGGTTCGGTGGCCGGTGGCCTGACGATTAAATGGATTAGTCGACGATGGGCGAATCAGCGGTGTTCGGCCGACGGCTGCCAGATGTGCATGCGGCGGGGGGAACAGATTGATAATCCTAGAGAGTCTTAGAGGGCCTGACCTGAGGTAAAAAGAATTATGTTGATTGTTATGCTCGTGCGTAATTCAGAAAATTGTGGTCTCCCTCCTTCTTGTCCTGGACGGCTCTTTTATGGTTCAGGGGAACCATCAGCATGTGACGGCATCCCGTGATCCCGCGATTCAAGTCCAGGTTCAGCTTCGGACTCAAGTACGGCCGCAACAGCAACTCGGTAGCCAGAGTATTGAGTAGGAGTTATCAGACCGACGGGTCTATGATGATATTCTACCAGAAAATGGTTCATAAGCCTTCAGAGATCCGAGCGCATTGATCGATAGATGCGTCTATTGGTCAAAGCTGGAAGACGACCTTGTTAGGCTTCGAAGGCAAGGGCCAGACAGGTACAGCGTGGTCTACAAATCGACAATGCATGCGCAGCATGAGAGAACAGCATAGTTGACACTAGCATGGCTTTGGCTTTGCTAAACAGCCCTCCTTTATCCATCTACGTCCTTGAACAGTATGATATGTAACCCTGATATGAAACCCATCGAACTCATGGGAAGAGCCAAATGGGCGATTAACGACGGGACAGCTCCTTCTGCGAATCTCGAAGGTCCCTCGACGGTCGCGACAGAATGCCGAAACCAGAGGGTGCTAAGCACATCAACTTCATCCCGACCAAGGCCGGTACATTAACGTGAGCGGAGACTCGTGGAGGAAAGGAAAGAAAAAGGAAAGCAAAAAGGAACCGAGAAAACAAAAAGGAACCTCCCGCACAAGCGAGAAATGGTCATGTGACTTCCACCAGAGTCTCGTACTAGTTGTGCTGTGCAGCTGCCCACGTGACTACCCCGGGTAGAAGGATCTTCCGAAGAGTAATTGCAGACGCCGTCATTGGTTCCCGGTCGGCAATCCCGTGACGGCTCCAAACCCGAGGTAGTCCGTTCCGATTGCTCGCGACGGGATTCTTCCTCTTCAACATCGAGAACTCGACGACGACGACCATCATGTTCTCTCAGAAGCTTGCTCAGCAATCGCTGCGACGGCGTATGTCCCATTGTCCTGAACCTTGGCTGTCTCCCAAATACCAATGTCGCTGACCATCTGTCCCGATTCACAGTTGCCGTCCAGCAGCCGCTCGCCATGCAGTCCATGATGCGCGCCTCCCCGGCCGCCGTCGCCCTCGGACAGACCATGCAGAAGAGGTCAGTTCATACCTGTGGCAGATTGAGTGACCTTGTTATCGAAATCCAGGGTAGCATTGGCAACCTCCGCGATAGCCATACGTCATCTGCAATTGCCGAAATTGATCAAGGCTAACCGACCATCCATTTGATATCCAGGCCCGTTACCTCCAACGCTGAGGACCCCGCCCAGATCCTGATCAAGCAGCGCCTGGCCCGCCCCGTCTCTCCTCACCTGAGCATCTACCGCCCCCAGATCGGCTGGATCGGCTCCTCCCTGCACCGTATCACTGGTGTCGCCCTCTCCGGCTCTCTCTACTTGTGGGCCACCGCATACCTCGCCTCGCCCGCTCTCGGCTGGCACCTCGAGTCCGCCTCCATGGTTGCCGCCATGGGTGCTCTCCCCGTCGCTGCTAAGGTTCTCCTCAAGGCTACCATGGCCCTCCCCTTCACCTACCACTCCTTCAACGGCCTCCGCCACTTGATGTGGGATACGGGCCGTGGTCTGTCCAACAACGTTATCATCAAGTCTGGTTGGACCGTTGTGGCCGTGAGCGTGACCAGCGCTCTGGCTCTTGCTTTCTATTAAGTTTATATACACATACCTGCTTGAGTTTTTTCCTTGTGTTAGTAAAAATGAATTTGGTCGAGCAATCTACACCTGAAATCGGGTCTCGTGGCACGAGCTAGGCGCAGATTTCTTTGTTTATTTACTATCCTTTACTTGATTCTTATCTAGATATCTTTGAAAGTGACCTGTATTGATTGGGCATGTTGACTAAACCCATACTGGTCGCGGCCCAAAATGCATATTTGAAAAGGATTCCTTGTTGTACCAATACTCCGTATATGCCACTGAAGGCTCACATTCTAGGGTAATACAGTACAAAAGGTAAGGTCCGAGAGTCCACTTCACGATCTGACCATTTCACGCTTTCCCAAATATCAATCCCCCATAAATTCCCGTCAACCAAATAACAAAGAGACGAGAGGTCTGCACGAGGACCATCACAACATGGCAAGGGTATCAAATTATGGCTGTTCCAATCAGCCCTCCCTAACAGCATGACCGTGTTATTTATGCAGGCAATCGAATTCTCCAGA